AGAGGTATGTTTTAATATGTGTATTTGTGGTGTTTTTGCAATGTTTATGTATTTTAATTGCTCTCAAGCTATGAGGAGAGGAGGGTAATAATAATAATAATAATAATAATAATAATAATAATAATAATAATATTTTTTTTTATTTTATTTTACTGACACAAAAACATAGTATGCCACAGCAAACAAGATATATATGCTGGATTTCGTATCACAAAATCACAAGTCGAACACTTCCCAAGCATCTAGGACTGTGTGTTGTATTATTATTATTATTATTATTATTATTATTATTATTATTACACAACAAGATTAATACACAGGAAACAAGATAATTATGCTGGCTGTAGTTTTGGTTCACACAGCAGACACTTCCCAAGTGTCTGGAATTGTGTGATGTATCGGCGAATAATGCGTGCAAATCCCAGTAGGGTGGCATATTGCAACTGACAGATGGTAATTTTGTTAGCGCCGATTGTGTTTAAGTGCAGGCCAAGGTCTTGAGGCACTGAACCCAGTGTGCCGATCACCACTGGGACCACTTTTACTGACTTGTGCCAGTGTCTTTGTAGTTCAATCTTTAAATCCTCTTATCGTGTCAATAATAATAATTATAATTATTTGAAATACAGCAAGATGAGGCCACAGCAGACACTCTGCTGACTGTTTGTCGTGTTCATTCTCTGTAACTTTTTCCGGCTTGTGATCCCACCAGTTCTTTGTTGCAGGCAGATGGTATTTGTGGCACAAGTTCCAATGAATCCCCTGAGCAACGGTGTTGTGCCTCTGCTTGTAGTCTGTCTGAGTAATCTTCTTACAGCAGCTGAGGATGTAATCTATTGTTTCATCTGCTTCCTTGCAGAGTCTACATTATTATTATTATTTTACTGACACAAAAACACAGTATGTCACAGCAAATGAGATCTATATGCTGGATTATTATTATTATTATTATTATTATTATTATTATTATTATTATTATTATCCTTCCTCCTTTCCCCCTTGCAGATGGGTTTTGGAAGTCTGAGATCATAGCGCAAGGCCTTATCGACCTGCTGGTGCCTTTCCTTCCCCTGAAACACCACCATGTGAAGCAGTGTGTGGCCCAAGAGCTGGCCAGCCAAGGCCTCCAGCCCTCCCCGGGGGTCGACCAGGCGGTTGCCGACAGCCTCCCTTACTTCCCCGAAGATGAGAATGTCTTTTCGTCTACAGGCTGCAAAATGGTGGCGGCACGGGTTCCCTTTTTCCTCTGACAACATTGCCCAGCCTCCAAAGTCCAGGCATAACACTTTGGGAGCTTCTTTCCACTCACAAGAGGCCTTTTATTTAAAAAATCAGCATAAATAGAAGTTTCCTTCAGGACCGAGGAAGAGCCATTCCGCACTTTGTCTATTATCAGGGTTTACACTTTGCCCTGAGCAAATGACATGGGTGCTTTTTTATCCAAAGGAGGAAAGGCAGCGATGCTCCGGAAAGGAAATCTCTTTTTAATCACACCGTTCTATAGACTTCCAAAGTGGCAGCTATCACGTCCAGAATCCTTGAATTGATTTTCTTCGGATTCTTCTTACCTCTGATTTCTTACATGACATTTCAAAACAATGCTGTGATTTTATTTTTTTCTTTCCATATGCTGGATGTTCTTGTAATCGTCAGGCCGAACCTTGCAGTTCGAATGCAAGCCTGATATTCCCTGGATATTTTCTTTTCTGTTGAAATCAAATAGAACTCAAAGAGCGGGGAAAACTCCGTTTCAAGGGCTGACCCTTCTGGGAAAAAGTCAGCTCCTGGAAGAAACTTCTCTCGGGATCCTTTTCTGGTAAGAGAAAACTGGCTTTTCCTGTCAGGACTGCGACTTGCCTTGAAAGGATCAAGAAACGACTAGTCAACGAAGGTGCTTGAATTGTTGAACCGTTAAACCTTGAACTGTTTTGTGTCCCTGCTTTTGGTGAAGGCCCCAATCCATTTTTTAGGAGCCCCCGAAATCGGGAAGGCAGATATCTGTTTTTGGTTTAGGACTTCGAAAGATCCATTTTCTATCGGACCATTATGGATGGGGCCTTCCCGACACACGCTTTAAGGAGTCTTCTTACCTGCTGTTTGTACTCTAGAGTAAGAGGCGCTTGGCTGCAGGCACTGGCAGGTGCACACGCTTTCAAGGCCTGCACGCCATTCTACAGACACACATGTTCCTTGGAAAGAGAGTCTTCTTTCCTCGTGTGATAACAAAGAAGGTAAGCTGTGACATTGAAAAAAAAGAGCACACCATGCTACACACGCAAGAGTGCCCCTTACTCTAGAGTAAGAGGCGCTTGGCTGTAGGCACTGGCATGTGCACACGCTTTCGAGGCCTGCACGCCATTCCACACACACACGCTCCTTGGAAAGAGAGTCTTCTTTCCCCGTGGGATAACGAAGAAGGTAAGCTGTGACATTGAAAAAAAAGAGCACGCCATGCTACACACGCTTTAAGGAGTCTTCTTACCTGCTGTTTGTACTCTAGAGTAAGAGGCGCTTGGCTGCAGGCACTGGCAGGTGCACACGCTTTCAAGGCCTGCACGCCATTCTACAGACACACATGTTCCTTGGAAAGAGAGTCTTCTTTCCTCGTGTGATAACAAAGAAGGTAAGCTGTGACATTGAAAAAAAAGAGCACACCATGCTACACACGCAAGAGTGCCCCTTACTCTAGAGTAAGAGGCGCTTGGCTGTAGGCACTGGCATGTGCACACGCTTTCGAGGCCTGCACGCCATTCCACACACACACGCTCCTTGGAAAGAGAGTCTTCTTTCCCCGTGGGATAACGAAGAAGGTAAGCTGTGACATTGAAAAAAAAGAGCACGCCATGCTACACACGCAAGAGTGCCCCTTACTCTAGAGGTGCTTGGCTGTGCACTTTCCGGACCTGCACGCCACGCCACACACACACTCTCCTTAGAAAGAGAGTGGGTGGCATGCAGGCCCAGAGAGTGTGCGCTCCTGCCAGTGCCTGCAGCTGAGCACCTCTTACTCTAGAGCAGGGGTCCTCAAACTTTTTAAACAGGGAGCCGGATTACTGTCCTTCAGACAATTGGAGGGCCAGACTATAGTTTTTAAAAAAAATTGACATTGTCAAACAGTTACACAGCACTTCGGGGGGGGGGGGGGGCAGGTCAGGCAAGCCCCCCCCCTGTATTATACAGACATGGGCCAACTTGGGCCTTCCCTCCAGGTGTTTGACTTCAACTCCCACCATTCCTAACAGCCTCAGGCCCTTTCATTTCCCCCCTCAGCCACTTATAGGAATGGTGGGAGTTGAAGTCCAAAACACCCGGAGGGCCCAAGTTTGCTCATGCCTGCCATATAGGCATTAATCTCCTCAGACTGAAGATACAGTATGGCATAGGCATCCACATAATCCTCGGAATACGAATATTGTATTCAACAGAAACTATTAAATTCTCAGAAGAGTTTCCCCTTCCTATGACTGGCGTTTATAAGGGCTCGAAAGCGGCGAGGAGCAGCCTTCCTTGTGGCCTCGCAGGACCTGAAGCCCTCATTCGGGTTGCCCCTCCTCCGCGGCGGAACCTCAGTGGAGGAGGGCTTGGCAGGGGCTGCTCCCCTTCCACTGCCGTCGCCTTCGTCCGCCATCTTGGCAGTGTTGACACTTGGCCTCGCGCAAAGCCCCTCGCCATTTATAAGGCCCAATCCCCTCACTTGCTCACGCAGCCAGTTGGGCCCGGAAAGCAATGGAAGCGGCGAGGGCTTCGCACGAGAACAGGCTGCATGGTGTAGCCTCCCTTGCCCTGCTCGCATGAAAGGGCAGCGCGAGGCAGGTAAGTTGCACCGTGCAGCCTGGCCTCGCACAAAGCCCTTCGCTGCTTGCCAGACCTAATCCCCTCGCCTGCCTCGCGCTGCCCGTAGGGCCTGGCAAGGGAAGCTGCACTGCATGGCTTGTTCTCGCGCTAAGCTCTTCCCTTGCCTGGCTCGCACAAGGTGCAGCACACGGCCTGGCCTCGAGCGAAGCCCCTCACCGTTTCCATTGCTTGCCAGGCCGGATGGGCAGCGGGAGGCAGGCGAGGGGATTGGGTCTGGCAAGCAGTGATGGGCATTGCGTGAGGCCAGGCCAGGCCGTGCGGGCCGGATAAATGCCCTCAGTGGACCGCATGTGGCCCACGGGCCGTAGTTTGAGGACCCCTGCTCTAGAGCAATAGGCGCTCAGCTGTAGGTACTGGCAGGCGTGCTTGCTTCCTGGGCCTGCACACCACACACGTACACACACTCTCTTTCCAAGGCAAGAAGGGAAGTTTTGCTACAGGCAAAACAAAAGCAGGCTTGAAGTCGGGATCGGCTCCAGTTTGCTTTTGTATCAAGCTGATTTATGTGCGGGGCGGGGATTTCCCGTTTTGTGCTCCCGAAGAAACAGGAGAAATGAATTCCACGCACAACTCTAGTGCTAAGTGTTATTGCAACACAAAACATTGTGATGGTTCTCTCTGTGGCCACTGCTGACTCTTTAAGCTTCAGTGGAAGGTATAATGTTATGAAGGCATGTCCCCCTTTCTTGCAAGACATGGAACTTCCGCTGTAGCATTTCTCATCTTCTCCAAAGATTTTTACCTGAAAATTGTATTAAATGCACCATGTGAAGGTGCTTTTTTCCAAATATGGTTTCCAAATATTTTTTCCAAAAAAAGATTTGCTTTTTTCCAAATATTGTTTAATCTTAAATTTTAAAAATGGAACTAGTGAGGCTGTTGGGAGGTCAGTGAAAGGTGCAGCAATTCATTCTTATGCAGGGAACTCAACACGCATTTGATGTGTGCACTTTCTCCAAGCCTTTTAAAACAGTAGACACAAATTACACACGTCTGTATTGAGGGGGATGTAATGCAAATTGTCAGAGTAGCGTTAGTAGCCTGCAGAATGTCTCAGTCCGTTTTACTCTCAGTGTGATAAAAACTCAAAAAAATACACGAGTCTGTTGCTTTAAGTAGAAACAAAAATATAGTTCTATTTGCTGTAGGTCAAAAATACAAAGCAAAACAGAAGGATTGTTCTCACCAATATACAACAAGCAATATCTCCGGCGAGTCATCTTCTTTACATGACAATATGCAAACACATAGCAAAATAATACAGTCTCTCTACTTAGTTATCAGTAGAATGTCCTTATCTTGCCATAAACAAGAAGTTTCCTTGGCACTCCAAACGGCTCAGCTTCAGGATGCTGCGTAACCGCTCCCAGCAACAGCCAAAGATTTCTTCAGCTCAAACGAACCATCAAGCTAAGCCAAATGCAAAACGCTTGTAAACCTAATGCCTTGTTATATGCTGAAGCAGATAACACACCCAATTAACTTGTGGCAGCTGTAACAGAAAAGGTTCTGATCCTCCCTGTTATTTAGAAAAAGCCTGTTGTAAACCCCTAGTAGCAACACAAATTACCTTTGTTTTCCAAAATGGAGATCTAGAATCTCCTTGGTTAAGCTTGACATGTAAGATTGAAACCACAAAAAGACAACTGATGCATATTCATACAGTAAAATATATTTGGTTTGAGGTGGTTGAGGAATTCAACAACTCTCCTCGTCCAATGGCACACACAACGAAGAGGATATGGCAGGGAAACCGCAGAGTCTTTCACCCAAACACAATGCTGTTTGAGAGGCCTAGAAGTGGCCGATGCCCTGGTTGAAGGTCTTCCATTGGTAAGGTTCATCCGAACGGACTGTTTCAGGCAGCTTTGGGTTTAGGTCCAGCCGCACAGCATTTGGCTCCAGGGAGGCCCTCTTCTCCAGCGCTTCCTTCACCTCCAGGCTCACCTAACAAACACACAGCACCGTAGTGATGAAGGGAGGCTTTGCAGCACCAAGGCCATTATCAGTAAAACAACAAATAAGTTAATAACGCATTGCATGAGGACGTCAACACTGCAAACATTACAATGAATTGTCGGGGCTTCTAATCTGTTTTGTTCATGATGGATTTGATACGATTGGCCAATAAGTCAGAAAGTATAAAAGTTAGCTCAGTAATGGGCAAACTTGGGCCTTCCAGGTGTTTTGGACTCCCACTCCCACAATTTCTAACAGACTCAGGTCCTTTCCTTAAGCAGTTGAGGGGGAAAAGGAAAGGGCCTGAGGCTGTTAGGAATTGCGGGAGTTGAAGTCCAAAACACTCAGAAGGCCCAAGTTTGTCCAAGCCTTTTCTAAAGGGAGACTTACTTTGCGGGTCTTCAACTGACAAGTAGACATCCTCTCTTTCAGCCGCTTCTCCTCGAAACCCCGCAGCTTCTCTCTCCTCTCCTTCTCCTCCGCTACTTTCTCTGGCTCTTCGTTTTCAATATAGACGTCTTTGGGGGTTTCTTTCCCTCTGGGATCCAAACTGGGGAAGGGCAGGAAGCAACACAAGAGGCTTTGCAATGCAACTAAAAAATTATTTCCCGCTACATTATGGACAGGGCTGTCCTTGAGCATCAGAATGAGAGTTCTGGAGCTTCCAACCAATACAGGAATTCCTCGCTACTTCGCGGTTCGCCTTTCGCGGAATCGCTGTTTCGCGGGGTTTTGTGGTACTTGCCATCGGCTGCTCCTGATAGGCCATGCGATGGCGGATGGCAAGCAGCTACACCTGGCAGTCAACAGGTCTCAGAAATGGAGGCTGGTGTACGGGCCAGGCCTGAGGCGCAGTGGGGAAGGACTGATTGTCACAAAGTTTGGCCTACTGCTTTACCGTGGCCACGGAAGTGGCTCCGGAGACGTTTATTGGCTGGACTCGCAGAAGAGGCAGTTAAGGAAGCACGAGGGCTAGATTGCGCATTCGTGCGTGAACACTTTTTATATATACCAAATGGAAGTGGAGCGCTTTCTAAAAGTTGCTGCTCAAGTAAAGTGACTGAAGGATTTTGTTTATAAGGTAAAGGAAAAGGTTTTAAGTCCAGTCGTATCCGACTTTGTATAAATATTAAAATATAGCGTCCCTACTTTGCGGATTTTCACTTTTCGCGGGTGATCCTGGAACACAACACCCGCGATAAGTGAGGGAACACTGTACAGTTTTAGCACTGTGATTTATTTACTACTATATTTCTGATTTTATTTAATCTGCCATGTTACTGTTCTATGGAACACTGGGATTTGTAGCTCAGGGAAGCACTACAGCTTTCTGGGTTGAAATCACAAATGCCCGCCTGGCAGGAAACCTGGCAGTTAAAATCGTAGCAATAGAATTGCAGTTTTTTTGGGGGGGGGGTTGGCCTAGTTGGAGGGGTCAAGGGCCACCAAATAACCTTGGAATTTGCCTCTAGACCCTGGGCCAGTGAGCTTTCCTATTCTAAGGTCACACTCTCTCAGCCTCAGACAAAAGCAAAGACCCTCCGAAAGCATCTCACCATAGAAACCCCATGATAGGCTCACCATACGTTGGAAACAACTCGAAGGCACATAATGGAAATGCCTCGATGTGCACTCTGTTCACTGACTCACCTCCAAGGAAGCCAAGACTCCAGCCAAATGCAACATGGCCTTTAAAGCATGTCAGCACTGCATGCAGTAGTTTGTGATGGCTAATCATTATCCTGAATTGAACCAGGAATGTATATATGCCTGTGCAATAATGTCCAGGGTGCGAGAAAGAACCTTTGTTTGTTTGAAGCACATGTGAATGTTACAATTAGCAAGCTTGAATTAGCATTTGAGTAGCCATGAAGCTGCAAAGTCAATCAGTGAGGGTATCTGCGTAGAGGTAGCTTGGCCTCTGTTGCCTGGAGGCATCCTTTGTTTGGGAAGTGTTCATAGGCACTTGATTGTTTGCTGTCTGGAATTCTTCTCGTAAATAAAGAACAACACTTGGAAAGAGGGGAATTCCGGACAGCGAACAATCAAGTGCCAGTGAACACCTCCCAAAGGATGCCTCCAGGCAATAACACTGAGTAACTTTGGAACTACTAGTTGACTCAAATGCTAATCAAGGTGGCCAAGGGTTCTTTCTCACACCCTGGACATTATTCCACAGGTAGATATATACACTCCACTTGCCTCATCTCCGAAAGACCTATGAAGATGCATTAGCCACAGATGCAGGTGAAACATCAGGGGAGAATGCTGCTGGAACATGGCCAGACAACCCAAAAAACACACAGCAACCCAACAACAACATTAACTAAATGGATAACTCCATGAAGTCGCATGTGCCTCAGTTTACCCTTTGGGTTTTTCCGGGGTAGTGGGTGCCGGGCAGGCTGCCATCCTCCGGTCCAGGAGCGTTCTGGCGAGGACCCCCATTTTGCTGTTGGCGAAGGTCTGGATATGCTCCCCAGGGAAGAAGTTTTTGGCCAAACTGTGGGTCTGAGAAAGAAAAACGGGACTCAGGGGAACGAAAGAAGAGGTGTGTAAGCACAAAAGGAAATTCACTCCCCAGAACCTTGAAGTATGCTTGTCCTTGTCTTTGTCACCCTGTAGCGTCTCAAAGGACTTGGCAGAAGTAAACAAACCCATCGATCTGCATTATCTTCTAAAGATGTCCTTCTGTCTTGTGGTTCTCAATTCACTTTTGTGCCCATTTTCTTTCCCACCATTCTGAGTAGCTGACAGTGTTACAAAAGATGCTTGTTTAGGAAATACCTCTGCCCAGGCCGGATCCAGAAGAAGGGCTGTCACAAGATCTTCCTTAGCGCCCATCACCTCCTGCAGAAACATGCGGCTCTTGGCCCGATGCAGGTAATACTTGAGCTGGCGAGGGTTGTTCTCGATGGCTTGAGAGAAATATGATTCTGCCTGCAGGTATCGCCTGAAAGGGAGAACAGGCCGAGAGCAGTACTTATTGGGTGGAATATTGGATTACCTACTTGAGAGTGTGAGAAAATGAGTGTTCAGATCGGAAAGCTAACATTCTGCAGTGTTCCCAAAACATAAGTCTTTGAGCTAGAGAAGAAGCTGAAGAAAAGAGAAACAGGACTATTGCAAAATGGAGAAACACAATGGCAGTCGAAATGAAGAACAGTTGACCTGTTGCACCCCTCCTAGAGTTCGTCTTGTCCTTAGCACCAACCAGCAATCCCAAAGCAGTAGTAAAATAGTTTATTGAAGAGAGTACATATAAAAAGGGTAAAATCACCAAAAGAAATAAGAAGGGCAAAATCCAACACGTAATCCGAAAAGGTAGTCAGTATATCTAAAAGATCCAACCAGTCCATCCTCCAGGAAATAAAGCCCGGCTGCTCACTGGAGGGAAGGATACTAGAGACAAAGTTGAAGTACTTTGGCCACATCATGAGGAGACAGGAAAGCCTAGAGAAGACAATTATGCTGGGGGAAGTGGAAGGCAAAAGGAAGAGGGGCCGACCAAGGGCAAGATGGATGGATGGCATCCTTGAAGTGACTGGACTGACCTTGAAGGAGCTGGGGGTGGTGACGGCCGACAGGGAGCTCTGGCGTGGGCTGGTCCATGAGGTCACGAAGAGTCGGAGATGACTGAACGAATGAACAACAACAACAATATCTAAAAACCCAACCAAGATGAGTAAAACACTTCAAAGGCAATAATCGAAATAATCCAAATGGTACAGGAAAGATTCATAACATGAGCACAATCCAAGGAAACGAGAATCAAAACATGAACATGAATCAGAAAAACCACAGCTATAAGAACTTCTTAAAACATGAATCAAAACTCGCAGGAACTTGAATTGCAAACAAAACTTGATATTCTTACTCTTAAACAGTGTTGCCTGATCTGAACTCTCAACGAGATGCTCTCTAATTTAAGGGCTGCAAAATATGAAGGCATTTCTTTGACTCTGAGGTTCTGGCTTGTGAAACTTTCTCTGTGCTTCTTTCTCATGGATTATTTTGGATTCCTGCACCTGATTTTTTCCCCCTTCAGATCCAGCCTGATAGCCCTGTCTAACCCAGTTGTTCCCTCGGACGACCTAACTTGGTCTGGTAGGTCTTTATCAGGGGTTGCTAAGCTCCTTGTGGGTGAAAGGCCCTCTCCCTGTCTGCTCAACTCCAAAACAGTGCCACTTTCAAACTCTGTCTCACAGACAGAACCTTGTTCTGAAGTCCCCTCACTTCCCTCGTCGAAAGAACCATCCACCACTCTCCCAGGTTCTGAAACTCCAGTCCCCTCATCTTCATCTGTCTGAACCACAACATGAAAAAATCTCGGCAACTTGATGAATTGGAGACAGTAGGGACGCCTCCTTAACTGGTACAACTGAAGGAGTAAGAGTATTGGAGACATGATACTTTCACATTGGGTGGAAAGGAGTAATAGAGCTGGGTGTCATGTGCATATCTGTGGTATCTTTTGAGGGCCAGGTTTGAATGTGCTCTCCAATACAAAGCCTGGCCTGCAAAGCCTGATCCTCAGGCCTCGACGGGCCGCATCCTACCTCTCCTGGAACTCCCGAAGCCCCATCTCGTTGTGCAGCCAAGCAATGCGTTTCCGCAGCAAAGGGTCAAGAGGCCGGAGCTCCAGGGCTTGCTGGTAGTCCGCCATCGCAAAGTTCAGCTCGCCCAGTTGGAGGAAGCAGTCTGGAGCGGGGAGAGAAGATGGGAGTCATGGTTTCAGCCTTGGTCTATCTCTCCCCTATGACTGAGAACAAACCCCCGTCTCTCAGCCCCAGAGGAAAACATTGGCAACAAGTGTAATGAATCCCTTACCTTAGATGGCTGGCTGAAGCCTAAGGGAGTGGGCCTGGCGAAGCCGTGGTGTCCATTTTAGAAAAGGGAACTGGGTGGAAGCCATTTTAGTTAGATTTTCCTTGAGGAGGCGTGTTCAAGTCTTAGAGGGAAAATGAGGAGGCTAGGATTCGCTAGAAAGATGGGGGCAGAGCCTAAGTGGTCTAGAGGGAAAAAGTGTCCTTTTAAAACAGAGGCTTGAAGGGCCGCTGAGTCAATTGTTGGTTGGAGTTGTTAGAGAGCAGTTGAAGAGTTGGTGTTAGTTAGAGTGAGTTTGGGTTTGGAAAAGAAGATTGGGTTAGTCTTTTGTGAGGTATTCAGAGTAGCTATTAGTAGATAGCTAGAATACTGTGGAGGAGCAGTGCCTAGTTAGTGGACTGTTCAATTCCTAGGAAAGTCTACTTCAGGGTATTTTTGGCTAGATTCCTAAGGGGCAGTTTTGGGACTTACTTTCAGAGATTAATTTCCTGAAGTAATTTTCTGTGGTTGAACTTTGAAGACTTGTAACCCAGAAGAGTTTAAGATTTTACTCTAATGAAACCACAAGTTTTTCATACCAGTATTTTCTGAAACCATTAAGCATTTGTACCTGAATTATTTCAAGCTTGTTCAACAAACATTCTTGTTCTTTCATTAACTTATACCAGCCTCAGTGTGTGTACCTTTGTGGACAAAGTATTTCTCAAGTCAGCTTCACAGAAACTATAGTGGTGGCACAGTGTGTTACAGAACAAACTCACAATAATACCTCAGCCTGATTAATACTGGAATGGTGGCAGCGGATTTCTTTTGAAGAGGCATTTTAAGTCTCTCGGTTCTAGCGTTTCTCGGTTCCTACCTTTTAAAATTCTAAGCGTCTCTCCCCTTCTCTGCTCTAATCTCCCCTGATATTGGTATAATCAGTGGGATATATTTCAACAATTAAAATAAAGAGAATTTTAAATATACAGTTGTTTCAACAACCATACTCTCTCTTCCTTTTGATGGCTTTATATTTTTGGTGAACACACGTTCATATTTTAGGAGGTGCCTGTGTGTTATAACAAGCCTTGCTCAGAAGAACAAGTCTCGCCATAAAAACCCCATGATGGGTTTTGATTGTGCTTCTCACAGCAATCCAGTGATTGTTGTTGTTTATTCGTTCAGTCACTTCCGATTCTTTGAGACTTCCTGGACCAGCCCACGCCAGAGCTCCCTGTCAGCCGTCACCACCCCCAACTCCTTCAGAGTCAAGCCAGTCACTTCAAGGATGCCATCCATCCATCTTGCCCTTTGTTGGCCCCTCTTCCTTTTTCCTTCCATTTCCACTCAGCATCATTCTCTTCTCCAAGCTTTCCTGTTTTCTCATGATGTGGCCAAAGAATCCGGTGATTCCAGCCATGAAAGTCTTCGACAACACATTAAATAATAATGATAATGATAATGTTGTGCTGTTATGTACAAATACATCTGTAATGATGATAATAATACCTCCTCTGTTCATGTAGAGCCCCTTCTCGTTCTTCTCCCCCTTGATGGCCTTGTTGAGGAGGAGAATGGCCTCTCTGTAGCAGGTCTTGGTGTAGCAATGTACGGCAAAGTCGTTGTAGGTCAGGAGCACCTGCTTCTGTGCTTCAGCGCGCACCTCCTCACCATCTTCCTTGCTGAGGCTCACGGCTTTGAGGTAGTCATCAATGGCAGCGTTGAAGTCCTTCAGCCGCCTCAGGATGCTTCCTCTGCCAGAGGCATCACAGGGAGAAGGAAGGAAGGAAGGAAAGAAGGAGTGAAACAAGCAGTGAGCTGGGGGAAAAATCATTGACTCTACCCGTAAGCTTTGTTGCTGTTGGTATCTGCCATTGACTTTGACTTATCCTCAACAGCCCTGCTCAGATCTTCCAGTATTCAGATCTTTTTCAATTGCTACTCTACTTCAAAATCAAGATTCTAGTCCTCATGGCTTGAGATTGGGACACAGAAGCTATGGAAGCTAGGTTTGGAGATGCCATTAGTCACAGATACGGGTGAAACATCAGGAGGGAATGCTGCTGGGACATGGCCATACAGCCCGAAACCCAGGCCTCATCAAATATACATCTATATATATGGGGGTTGAATGAAAAGTAATGCCTCCACCTTCGTAACTCCTCAATAGATGGCAGTACTGGTATGTGGCAGGTACTGGCTTGTTCAGACTCCCCTCTACAGTTCCATTTGGGCAGGAAGCCTTAGCATTGAACAGTTTTGTTGTTAAAGTGCGAAGTATGGAACCTTGCGCAGATGGTCAATGTGACTTAAGCAACATACAGTCATTGAATTCTTGACAGCAAAAGGTGTCATCCCAAAGGAGATTGATCAGAGAAAGCAAGCTGTTTATGGTGATTGTGTTGACGTGAGTACTGTGCATCGTTGGGAGAGTAAGTTGAAAGATGTTGAGGTGGGAACATCTGACTTGCGTGACAAATGAAGAGTTGGACGTCCTGTGACAGTAACCACTGAGTATCACAAGCAAAAGGTTGACAGATTGATTCAGGACAATCGTCGTATCACTCAGAGAGAAATTTCAAACATAATCGGCATTTCACAAGAACATGTGGGTCACATTATTGCTTTGCTTGGCTATTGGAAGATCTGTGCACGATGGGTACCCAGGATGAGAGAATTGCGAGACACTGGTTGCAGAAACAGAGTGTCGACTTCTTCCGTGACGGCTTCAGAAAATTTGTTCATCGTTGGCAGAAATGTATCCAATTGTCTGGTGATTATGTGGAAAAGTGAATAGTGGTAATTAAAGAGTACATTCTAAGGATTATTTCTGCGTTTGATTTATTAAAATATTCCCACCCAAACCCAAGTAATGAAGGTGGAGGCATTACTTATCATTCCACCCTCGTACTTTGACTTTCATAAACATTCAGTCCTGCTGGCACAAGGGTTTAACCAGTGGGTCAGTGGGTTAAACCCTTGTGCCGGCAGGACTGAAAACCAACAGGTTGCAGGTTCGAATCCGGGGAGAGCGCAGATGAGCTCCCTCTGTCAGCTCCAGCTCCCTATGCAGAGACATGAGAGAATCCTCCCAAAAGGATGGCAAAACATCAAAAACCAGGCATCCCCTGGGCAATGTCCTTGCAGATGGCCAGTTCTCCCACCAGTTTCTCAAGTCGCTCCTGACACAAAATATCTATATAAATAAAAATGTAATGTTTGTTTGTGGGATTAACATAACTCAAAAACCGCTGGACGAATCGACACCAAATTTGGATACAATACAGCTATCAGGCCAACGAGTGACCATCACTCGTAAAAACACAGAAAAACACAGAGGAAGGAACTTAAAAAGCCAAAAAAAATTAAAAATGCATTACAACACCTGTGCATAACCACATATATACAGAAATACACATAGAAAACACATATAAACAGACTGGGCCACAGCAACGTGTGGCAGGGGATGGCTAGTTTATAGATAGATAGATAGATAGATAGATAGATAGATAGATAGATAGGTGTATCCATCCTATGGAAGCCTAAGATGAGTGGTTCTTACTATTCTCTGCCAAAGGGCAGTAGTGCCTCGCCAAACTACAAATCCCAGAATCCCCTGTACCTGAAGAGGAAGTAATTGGCCTCTGCAGGGTTGTAATCAATGGCCCGATTGATCTTCAGCAAGGCGGCTTTCAGGTTTCCCTTCACTGCTTTGGTCACAGCTTGGTCCCTGGATCGCTGGGCTTCCCTCTTCAAGTTGCTCAACATCACCCGAGCTTCGACATGCTCTGGTTCTAACGCAAGAGCATCTTGCAGGTTATGGAAACACAAGGTCACCTTCGAGGAAGAGAGAGAAAGAAACAAACCAGAGAGTTTGGACAAGTTGGGCATTTGAGCGAGGGACATTTTTCTGCATTTTGGCACTACATTTTAGATCCTTTATATAGCAAACTGGCGAGCTGTACGATATAATCAAATGTCAACAAAGTCCCGGTCCGTTTGTCCTACTACGATGTGAGCGCAATGCATTTCTCATTCCATCACCCCCACCATTTGGAAGGAGGTCTGTTTACGTCTTCTGAACCTCAAAGGAGGATCCGGGCAATACGTTTTACCTTCCCGAAATGCTCATAGAGCCGAGCCCTCAGGACAAAGAGGTCCGGGTTCTTCTCCTGAGCGACCTCTTCGTTGACCATCTGGAGGCAATCGTTGAACCGTTTCATGGCCGCCAGGCAGGCAATGCTGCGGAAAGGAAGAGGATAAGAAGGCTGGGTTGGGGATGTTGTGAACCTTTCACAGAAGGAAAGTAGAAGACGTGACCAAGAAACATCAACATGGGGTCAAGGGAGTATCGACAGGCAAAGAAGTGGTGGCATTTTGATTTTGCCCTCAGGAACCCCATTCGAAGGGAGGAAATTTGCTCAATTTTTTGCCTTCGACAAAAAATTGCAGTACAGTGGTCCTTCACTTATCGCGGTTGTTACTTATCCTTCACTTATCGCGGTTGTTACGTTCCAGGACCACCCGTGATAAGTTAATTTCTGTGAAGTAGGGACGCCCCTTCACCTTCCCTCCTTGCCCTATTTACCTTCCTCTTCCTCCTCCTGGACCTCTGGCTGTCACTTAGGCCCCACGACGCCTCCTCAATCATGGGGCCCAGGTGACGACGAGGAGGAGGAAGAGGAAGGTAAGGAGGGCGAGGGGGTGGCTCTTCTTTCCTCCTCACCCTCTTTACCTTCCTCTTCCTCCTCCTCGTCGCCACCTGAGCTTCTTGCCACCGCTTAGACCTCGTGTCTGCGATAAGCGAGTCTGCGATAAGCGAACCACGAAGTAGCGAGGGACCACTGTACTGTGTCAGAGGCAAACAATACTAGTTGTGTATTGCAAACAATACTAGTTGTGTATTAGGTCAGAACATGAAGGTGTGTTTTTTGCTCTCTTACCTCCTCATGCGGAAAATCTTATTCTGAGGCTGCAGCTCCGAGGCGCGGGTGAAGGACACTAAGGCCTCTAAGTAGCAACTCTGCTCATAGAGACACTGGCCCTGAAATGGGAACACCGGACAAGCATCACAACCAAGAACTAATACAAACAGATAAGGGTCAATTTGTGATTTGTAGCATGCTGCTGGACTACTACAACACCCATTTGCTTTAGCCAGGATGGCCAAAAGAAGTGGGGAATGCAGTCCAGGAAAGGCATTGCTTGCTTCTGGTTCACCTGCAATTGGGAAATGAAGGCAAGGCGGGCGGTGATGCTCTCCTTCCGCGAGGACATGGAGTAGGCCTTCCGGAGGTGCATCATGGCAGACTGGAAGTCGCAGAGCTGGAGGAAAGCCTCGGCCTTCTGTTCATAGAGCTCCCCCTGCGGAAGAGAGCCTAATAATAATAATAATAATAATAATAATAATAATAATAATAACAACTAATAATAATAACAACAACAACAACTTGGGAAGTGACCGATGTTTGATTCAATACAACAACCAACAGAGTGATCTTGTCTGCTGTGGACTCATCTTGTTGTGTTTCAAATAATAATAATAATAATAACAACAACAACAACAACTTGGGAAGAGACCGACGTGTGATCCAATACAACAACCAGCATGTGATCTTGTCTGTGGACTCATCTTGTTGTGATAATAATAATAATAATAATAATAATAATAATAATAATAATAATAATATACTTTATTTGTTTTCTGCTCTATCTCCCCGAGGGGACTCAGAGTGGATTACAGGATACATATATGGCAAGCATTCAGTGCTGTTGTATAATTAACAACAAAGACAGACAGTACATGGACAGAGGCAAAGGCTTCCCCCTTGTCATCTCTGGCATATGGAGGCTGTGCTCAATTCCAGCCATGGGGAGGTGCTCTTGTTCCATTTCCCAAGGAGCTTGTTGTCTGTAAACATCTTCCTGATCAATGTATTGTCGAAGGCTTTCATGGCCACTGGGTTGTTGTAGGTTTTTCGGGCTGTATGGCCATGTTCTAGAAGCATTCTCTCCTGACGTTTCGTCTGCATCTATGGTAGACATCCTCAGAGGTTGTGAGGTCTGTTGGAAACTGATTGTATTGCCGGCTTGTTTACGTGAGTGCCTTTACCTCCCCACCAAAGTGGCACCTATAAATCTACTCATATTTTTGTGTTCAAGCTGCTAGGTTGGCAGAAACTAGGGCTAACAGTGGGAGCTCACTCCGACCCGCAGCTTTGAACGGCCAACCTTCCGGTCAGCAAGTTTTTCTGCAGCTTGTGGTTCAACTCACTGTGCTACCACGGGTGGAAACAGGCAGAAAAGGGGGCTGAACTGAACATTTGATGCCAGAAACAACACAGAAAGAATCTGAGGATGTCCTTGGACTACAAAGAAGAGCTTTGTAGTGAACCAACGTGTCTCACCCAAAAAGGCCTTGTACTATCAGATGCTTTGTGAATGCAAGTATGCCTGTGCTTGCTGTGCTCCCGCAAACCCAACCGCAGCTCCGCACCATCCAATACCTTCTTAGGATCCAGATTCAGGGCCTTGGTGAAGCAGGTGATGGCTCGTTCCCATTCTCCCTGAGAGAAGTACTGGTTCCCTTCTTGGCAGCTGAGGAACGAGAGGGAAACAGTGACCGGCACGAAAGCTAACCAAGCTTGGAAAAGGGAAGACTGAGTGACGCTCCTCTCTTTAAACATATGATGGGAATATATGAAGAAAAGGCCAAGAGGGCCTTCTCCCGCATCCCCATCAGATTGTTGTTGTTGTTGTTTCTGTTGTTGTTAGTGTATATATGTGGTGTCGCCTGGTTGTTGGAGGGGCTGCTGCTCCCTACGTTCACCCCTTCTTTCTCTTTCCCTCCCCTCACATCTTTTCCCCTCTTGTTTACTCTTCCTTTCTTCCCTTCTTTTTCCTTTCTCCCCTCCACCTCCCCTTCGTTCCTTTCTTTTCTCTTTTTCCTTCCTTCCTTCCTTCCTTCCTTCCTTCCTTCCTTCCTTCCTTCCTTCCTTCCTTCCCTCCTTCCCCTCCCGCCACTTCACCCCGCCTTTGTGGTGTAGGCAGACTTTCCCTCCCTTTCCTTTTCCTTTATTCCCCCTCCCTCTACCTTTCCTTTCATTCCCGTCTTTTTCTCTTTTTCCTTCCTTCCCCTCAATAGATATGCCAGTTTTCCAAGTGATATCACAGAGGGACACTTCACCCTACCTTTCTTATGTAGGCAGACTTTCCCTCCCCTTCCTTTTCCTTTATTCCCCCTCCCCCTCCTACCTCTCCTTTTGTTCCCTTCTTTTTCTCTTTTTCTTTCCTTCTTTCCCCTCAATACACATGCCACCTTTCCCAGTGACATCACAGAGGGCCACTTCACCCTGCCTTTGTGGTGTAGGCAGACTTTCCCTCCCTTTCCTTTTCCTTTGTTCCCTCTCCCTCCACCTCCCCTTCGTTCCCTTCTTTTCTCTTTTTCCTTCCTTCCTTCCTTCCTCTCGGTACACATGCCACCTTTCCCAGTGACATCATAAAGGGCCACTTCACCCCACCTTTGTGATATAGGCAGACTTTCCCTCCCTTTCCTTTTCTTTTATTCCCCCTCCCCCTACCTTTCCTTTTGTTCCCTTCTTTTTCTCTTTTTCCTTCCTTCTTTCCCCTCAATACACATGCCACCTTTCCCAGTGACATCACAGAGGGCCACTTCACCCTGCCTTTGTGGTGTAGGCAGACTTTCCCTCCCTTTCCTTTTCCTTTGTTCCCTCTCCCTCCACCTCCCCTTCGTTCCCTTCTTTTCTCTTTTTCCTTCCTTCCTTCCTTCCTCTCGGTACACATGCCACCTTTCCCAGTGACATCATAAAGGGCCACTTCACCCCACCTTTGTGATATAGGCAGACTTTCCCTCCCTTTCCTTTTCTTTTATTCCCCCTCCCCCTACCTTTCCTTTTGTTCCCTTCTTTTTCTCTTTTTCCTTCCTTCTTTCCCCTCAATACACATGCCACCTTTCCCAGTGACATCTCAGAGGACCACTTCACCCCACCTTTATGATGTATGCAGACTTTCCCTCCCTTTCCTTTTCCTTTATTCTCCCTCCCTCCACTTTTCCTTTCCCTTCTTTTTCTCTTTTCCCTTCCTTCCCCTCAATACACATGCCACCTTTCCCAGTGACATCACAGAGGGCCACTTCACCCCGCCTTTGTGATGTAGGCAGACTTGAGGACAGAAAGGGCGCTCTATCCCAAAAAGAGAGGAGGGAGAGATGCTCATTGCTCACTGCTCTTCGGTCTTCTTCTGCAGGAGGCCTTGGTATGTCCCCACTTTCTCAGGGCTCTTCACATAGCGCAAGGTCTCAGTCGTCCCAAAAATGCGCCGCAGGGACTTCTGCCGGGCCTCCTCCAGCGCTTCTTCGGTGACAGCGGTGGGGAAGAAACCGAGGCCAGCACCTGCCGTTTTCCCCTTCTGGAGGTAAAGAAACACAAGTCCTTTGCAAGTGAGTAAATAGTGGGATCTGGTCTGGAGCTAAGCTGCATTAACTCTGTAGTGCGGATTTGTTTATTTATTTATTTGCTGTATTTATATTCCACCCTTCTCACCCCGCAGGGGATTCAGGGTGCATCACAATGCCCATATACATGGCAAACATTCAATGCCATCGATACACAACATATATTGACAGAGACACAGAGGCTATTTAACTTTCCAGCTTCATGAGGGTATGCTTTTTGTATTCCGGCCACCGGGGGAGCTGTCGCTTCACCATCTACTTGTGACACCGATGGAGTACTTCCTCATTCTTTTGCACGCTGCTGGAGAGTTTTATGGCATTGTAAATTAGTTAAATTAGCCTCCTGGCATAAGTGGTACCTAAATTTCCAACTTGACAGATGCAATTGTCTTTTGGGCTGCATAGGTCGACAGCAAGCTAGACAAATGGTCGGGTGTACTCCAACCCCGGCTGGCTTTGAACTCATGACCTTTTGGTCAGTAGGGATTTTAATGCAGCTGACTCCCAACCAGATGTGCCACAGCCCAGTCTAACCTGGATGCACCTTTGCGGTTGTGTTGCCTTCAAGGTGTTTCCAACTTAAGGCAAACTGGTCACATTGTTTTGTCTCAGCAAGATGGATTCAGAAGGGCTTTGCCCTGGCCTTCCTCAAAGGCTGAGAAAGTGCGACTTGCCCAAGACTAGGCAGGGATTCCCTTGTGTCCGATCTCAACACTTAAATCCTTACACCAACTCGGCTCCCATCATCATCATCATCAAAATTTATTACAGTCCAAAGACCCAATTTGCTCAGCAGAAAAAGTATGGTACACTGCACATTCATAAATCAATAAAACCATTTAAAAATAGCACGGGTGCAGCTGGTAGGCTGTTAGGAATTGTGGGAGTTGGAGTCCGAAACACCTGGAGGGAGGGCCCAAGTTGGCCCAGGCCTGCTCTACCTTCACTTTGGGATCCTCTGCCTCCATCGCAAACATTAAAACAGGATATTATTACTATTATATTATATAAGTACCGTATTAATGTCAACCATATTATATTTATTTATATTTAATTATCAATATAGTTATCTATTAATGTCATGTCAACCATATTATATTTGTGATGAATTATATATCAATATAATTAAGTATTGATGTATATAATTAAGCATATATATATATATATATATAAAATAGAGTATTATTTGATGCGTATATATAGTATTAGATTATATTATATATAGTATTATATTTATTATTTCATTTATTTATTTATTTCATACACTTTTAGCCCGCCCTTCTTCCCACAAGAGGGGACTCAGGGTGGCCTCAATACACAACATAACAATACACCTAAAGCAAATTAAAACAGTTATAGAATCATAGAATCAAAGAGTTGGAAGAGACCTCATGGCCATCCAGTCCAACCCCATTCTGCCAAGAAGCAGGAATATTGCATTCAAAGCACCCCTGACAGATGGCCATCCAGCCTCTGTTTAAAAGCTTCCAAAGAAGGAGCCTCCACCACACGCCGGGGCAGAGAGTTCCACTGCTGAACGGCTCTCACAGTCAGGAAGTTCTTCCTCATGTTCAGATGGAATCTCCTCTCTTGTAGTTTGAAGCCATTGTTCCGCGTCCTAGTCTCCAAGGAAGCAGAAAACAAGCTTGCTCCCTCCTCCCTGTGGCTTCCTCTCACATATTTATACATGGCTATCATATCTCCTCTCAGCCTTCTCTTCTTCAGGCTAAACATGCCCCGTTCCCTAAGCCGCTCCTCATAGGGCTTGTTCTCCAGACCCTTGATCATTTTAATCGCCCTCCTCTGGACACATTCCAGCTTGTCAATATCTCTCTTGAATTGTGGTGCCCAGAATTGGACACAATATTCCAGATGTGGTCTAACCAAAGCAGAATAGAGGGGTAGCATTACTTCCTTATATCTAGACACTATGCTCCTATTGATGCAGGCCAAAATCCCATTGGCTTTTTTTGCCGCCACATCACATTGTTGGCTCATGTTTAACTTGTTGTCCACGAGGACTCCAAGATCTTTTTCACACGTACTGCTCTCAAGCCAGGCCTCATCGTCCCCCATTCTGTATCTTTGCATTTCGTTTTTTCTGCCAAAGTGGAGTATCTTGCATTTGTCACTGTTGAACTTCATTTTGTTAGTTTTGGCCCATCTCTCTAATCTGTCAAGATTGTTTTGAATTCTGCTCCTGTCCTCTGGACTATTGGCTATCCCTCCCAATTTGGTGTCGTCTGCATACTTGATGATCCTGCCTTCTAGCCCTTCATCTAAGTCATTAATAAAGATGTTGAACAGGACCGGGCCCAGGACGGAACCCTGCGGCACTCCACTTGTCACTTCTTTCCAAGATGAAGAGGAAGCATTGGTGAGCACCCTCTGTGTTCGTCCATTTAACCAATTACAGATCCACCTCACCGTAGTTTTGCCTAGCCCACATTGGACTAGTTTCCTTGCCAGAAGGTCATGGGGGACCTTGTCGAAGGCCTTCCTGAAATCCAGGTACGCTCCATCCACGGCATTCCCCGCATCTACCCAGCTTGTAGCTCTATCGAAGAAAGAGATCAGATTAGTCTGGCATGACTTGTTTTTGATAAATCCATGTTGACTATTAGCGATGACTGCATTTGTTTCTAAGTGTTTGCAGACCGCTTCCTTAACAATCTTTTCCAGAATCTTGCCGGTATCGACGTGAGGCTGACCGGACGGTAGTTGTTTGGGTCATCCTTTTTTCCCTTCTTGAAGATTGGGACCACATTGGCCCTCCTCCAATCTGCTGGAACTTCTCCCGTTCTCCAAGAACTCTCAAAGATGGTTGCCAATGGTTCCGAAATGACTTCCGCTAGTTCCTTCAATACTCTGGGGTGTAGTTGATCTGGCCCTGGGGACTTGAACTCGTTAAGAGCGGCCAGGTATTCCTGGACGACTTCTTTCCCAATTTGGGATTGGATGTCCTCCAATCCCTCATCCACTCCATCTTGCTGAGGTTGAAGACTCTCTTTTTGTGAGAAGACCGAGGTAAAGAAGGCATTAAGTAGTTCTGCCTTTTCCCTATCCCCTGTCAGCATTGCCCCATCTTCTCCTCGAAGAGGTCCTATCGCCTCCTTGTTTTTCCTTTTTCTACTGACATAAGAATAGAAGCCCTTTTTATTGTTTTTAATGTCCCTGGCAAGTCTGAGCTCGTTTTTTGCTTTAGCCTTGCGGACCTTTTCCCTACAGGTGTTGGCTATTTTTTTGAATTCTTCTTTGGTGATTTCTCCCTTTTTCCACTTCTTGTGCATGTCTCTTTTGTGTCTTAGCACAGTTAGAAGTTCTTTGGACATCCATTCTGGCTTCTTTGCACTTGTCCTATTTTTTTCTCTTTGTTGGCACGGTTTGCAATTGCGCCTTGAGTATTTCACTCTTGAGAAATTCCCATCCATCCGTAACTCCCTTGTCTTTTAGTATCTGTGTCCACGGAATGCTGCTCAGCGTATAAAAAACAACAAAACAACAAGCAGTAAACAATACACCAAACACAATAAAACTGGGCCGGACCAGAGTAAAGGGTACAGAATTAAAAGTGCTGATGTGACAGGTAACAAGTAAGGCTTATAGGGCAAGTGCAGTGTGCAGTAATCTAATTCTAATAAAGTGCTTCTGGGACTTGGTATTGGAGATTTCCTATTCGGGAAAGGCACATCGGAACAGCCAGGTCTTCAAGTTCTTTCTGAAGACTGCCAGTGTAGGGGCCTGTCTAAGATCTTTGGGGAGGGTGTTCCAGAGTCGGGGGGCCACCACAGAAAAGGCCCTGTCTCGTGTCCCCACCAAACGTGCTTGCGGCGCAGGCGGGATCACGAGCAGGGCCTCTCCAGATGACCGAAGTGAACGCGTGGGTTCGTAGACGGAGATACGGTCACGCAGGTAGGCTGGTCCCAAACCGTTCAGGGCTTTGTAGGTAAGCACCTGCACCTTGAATTGGGACCGGAAAATGAACAGCAGTCAATGGAGCTCCTTAAACAGTAGGGTTGACCTCTCTCTATAAGGAGCACCAGTTAACAACCTGGCCGCCGCCCGTTGGACCAGTTGGAATTTCTGAGCCGTTTTCAAGGGCAGCCCCCACGTAGAGCGCGTTACAGTAGTCCAATCTAGAGGTGACCAAGGCATGGACCACCCTGGCCAAATCAGCCTTCGCGAGGTATGGTCGTAGTTGGCGCACGAGTCTCAATTGTGCAAAAGCCCTCCCAGACACCGCCGATGCCTGAGCCTCAAGCGTAAGGCCTTGCAACTGACCAGGAGGATCTCTGTCTTGTCTGGATTCAACTTCAGTTTGCTTGCCTTCATCCAGACCGTCACAGTGGCCAGGCACCGCTGTGTGTTCAGGACTAGGACGGTCTCCTTAGTATCTGGTGGAAATGAGTGATAGAGTTGGACGTCATCTGTGCACAGATGACATCGAACTCCAAAACTCCGGATGATCTCTCCCAGCGGCTTCATGTAAATGTTAAACAACATGGGGGACAATACTGATCCCTGAGCAGGTGTCCCTCAGCAACACCTGGGTACGACCCTCCAGGAAGGCCTGGAGCCACTGCGGAACTATATATATGATGCATATATATAGTATTATATATAGTATTATATGATGCAGTATTATATTAGTATTATATTATTATACATAATTATTATACATATAATATTATGTATATATACAGGTATATATTACACTAAGTACTTTTTTGTACTAAGATGTGGGGGGGTGGCTAAAATAAAAGATGGGCTCAGAAGGGTCTAGTAGAAATTGGGAGTCCTGAGCCTGGGGATTCTGGGAGTTGTAGTCCAAAGTGTAGCTCTACCTTCACTTTGGGAGTCTGCATCTCCATGGTTGCCAATACACGTCACTTGGTTGCTAAGAAGCGAACGTGACTGGCCGCTAGAGGGAGGAAGTGAGCAACTGTATTTCAATAAGAGGCGCCCTAATATTCTATGGGAGCGGCTATTCCTAGACCAGCCACTAGAGGGAGGAAAAGAGCAGCTCTATTTCAGTAAGATGCGCCTCAAAATATTAGAAGAGCTATTCGCAGACCAGCCGATAGAGGGGGGAAGAGAGCCGCTGTATTTCAATACTTATTTATTTATCGTGTCATCAGCAACCATTGTATCACAATTCTAACAGAGCAAAACAAACACACAGATTAAAAAGAAAAAGGAAAAAAAACACACAGATTTTGCAAATTTGGTATTTGGTTAAATGTCCTTTGACCAGTATCTGGCCACTTGGAGTGCCTCTGGGGTTGCCGCAAGAAGGTCCTCCCTTGTGCATGTGGCAGGGCTCAGGCAAGGAGCTTTGAGTTGGTAGAACAGAAGCTTTCCGAAGCTCTAAGTGCTCTTACTGCCCATTACAGGGAAAACCAGCTGATCCCAACCCATCCAAAACACAGACATGTGCCTTTCATCTCAAGAACAGAGAAGCATCCCGAGCTCTGAAGATCACCTGGGAAGGAATCCCACTGGAGCATTGCAGCGCACCCAAATACCTGGGAGTCACTCTGGACCGTGCTCTTACCTACAAGAAGCACTGCCTGAACATCAAGCAAAAAGTGTGTGCTAGAAACAATATCATACGAAAGCTGACTGGCACAACCTGGGGATCACAACCAGATACAGTGAAGACATCTGCCCTTGCGCTGTGCTACTCTGCTGCTGAGTATGCATGCCCAGTGTGGAACACATCTCACCACACTAAAACAGTGGATGTGGCTCTTAATGAGACATGCCGCATTATCACGGGGTGTCTGCGCCCTACACCACTGGAGAAATTACACTGCTTAGCCAGTATTGCACCACCTGACATCCACCGGAAAGTAGCAGCCAATAGCGAAAGGACCAAGGCAGAGACATCTCCAGCTCATCCCTTGTTTGGGTATCAGCCAGCACGTCAACGACTTAAATCAAGAATAGTTTTCTAAGATCTACAGAGACACTCGCTGGAACACCTCAGCAAGCGAGAGTCCAAAAGTGGCAGGCTCAAACCCAGCACCTCAACCAATGGCTGATACCAAATGAGAGACTCCCTCCTGGGCACACAGAAGACTGGGTGACTTGGAAGGCACTGAACAGACTGCGCTCTGGCACCACGAGATGCAGAGCCAACCTTCAGAAATGGGGCTACAAAGTGGAATCCTCGACATGCGAGTGTGGAGAAAAGCAAACCACTGACCACCTGCTGCAATGCAACCTGAGCCCTGCCACATGCACAATGGAGGACCTTCTTGCAGCAACACCGGAAGCACTCCAAGTGGCCAGATACTGGTCAAAGGACATTTAACCAACTACCAAACTCACAAGATGTGTATTTTTCTGTCTGTTTGCTTTGTTCTGTTAGAAATGTAATATATAATGGACTGGTTGCTCTGACACGACAAATAAATAAGGGCTCAGGTTGCATTGCAGCAGGTGGTCAGTGGTTTGTTCTTCTTCACACCCGCATGTCGTGGATTCCACTTTGTAGCCCCATTTCTTAAGATTGGCTCTGCATCTCGTGGTGCCAGAGCGCAGTCTGTTCAGCGCCTTCCAAGTCGCCCAGTCTTCTGTGTGCCCAGGGGGGAGTCTCTCATCTGGTATCACCCTTGGATTGAGGTGCTGGGTTTGGGCCTGCCACTTTTGGACTCTCGCTTGCTGGGGTGTTCCAGCGAGTGTCTCTGTAGATCTAAGAAAACTATGTCTTGATTTAAGTCCTTGACGTGCTGGCTGATACCCAAACAGGGGATGAGCTGGAGATGTCTCTGCCTTGGTCCTTTCACTATTGGCTGCTACTTCCCGGCGGATGTCAGGTGGTGCAATACCGGCTAAGCAGTGTAATTTCTCCAGTGGTGTGGGGCGCAGACACACTGTGATAATGCGGCATGTCTCATTAAGAGCCACATCTACTGTTTTAGTGTGGTGAGATGTGTTCCACACTGGGCATGCATACTCAGCAGCAGAGTAGCATAGCGCAAGGGCAGATGTCTTCACTGTGTCTGGTTGTGATCCCCAGGTTGTGCCAGTCAGCTTTCGTATGATGTTGTTTCTAGCGCCCACTTTTTGCTTGATGTTCAGGCAGTGCTTCTTGTAGGTCAGAGCACGGTCCAGAGTGACTCCCAGGTATTTGGGTGTGCTGCAATGCTCCAGTGGGATTCCTTCCCAGGTAATCCTCAGAGCTCGGGATGCTTGTCTGTTCTTAAGGTGAAAGGCACATGTCTGTGTTTTAGATGGATTAGGGATCAGCTGGTTTTCCCTGTAATAGGCAGTAAGAGCACCTAGAGCTTCGGAGAGCTTCTGTTCTACCATCTCAAAGCTCCCTGCTTGAGCAGTAATGGCACGATCGTCAGCATAGATGAAACTCTCTGTCCCTTCTGGCAGTGGCAGTGTATTTCAATAAGAGGCGCCCTATAATATTAGATGAGAGGGGCTATTCTCAGACGAGCCGCTAGAGGGAGGAAGAGAGTAGATCTATTTCGACATGAGGCGCCCCAGAATATTATACGAGCGGCGATTCGCAGGCAGGCCGCTAGAGGGAAGGAGCTTCCGCCCGCAGCAAAGATGGCGCTCCAAAGCCCACCTCGCCAGGAATTCAGGGATAGGCCGCCGCTGTCGATGACGTCACACTGAGGTGATTAAAGGCTGCGCTGGGCCGCCTTGTCTGTCAGTTGGCGGCCGGAGCCCGGAAGTGGAACACGCGAGGAGGAAGGGAGGGAGGCCGCTCTAGGCGGAAAGATGCTTCCCTCGCGGTCCTTCGGGCGGTTCCTCAAGAGGGCCGCCAGCCACCGCGGCGGGGAGAAACGCGTGCTGGTGAGGGGGCGGGCCTTCCGGTTTAGGGGCGAACGCTTCCGGGTCAGGCCTTTGGTTTCAGGGGGCATTAAATGGAGAGGTGGCTTGGGGGTCTTCCTAGGCCCACATTTTCCTCACCCTTTATTTTAGTTATCTACAGCAAATAAATATAAATAAAAAAATATTTAAGTATTATTTACATTTAATTATATATTCATATTATTAAGTATTTATTAATGTTCACTATGTTCATTTATATTCAGTTATAAGTTGTTAAGTAATAATTTCAGCAAGATTATAAGTATTTACATTTAATTATGTCTTCATATTATTAAGCATTTTATGTCAGTAATACTATAGTTATTTGTATTTAATTATACATTAATATTATTGATTTATAATTCAACGCCCCATATCGTGTGTTGCAAGCACTTAATGTTATCTATTTATATTTAATTATATTATTAATGTTATTATTTTATCATGACGTGTTGCAACGGACATAGTGAATATTATGTATTTATATTTAATTAGGTATTAATATATTATAATTAATATTAATTTATTATTCAATCTATTTGCCCAAAGGAACTGGGAAATTATTGTTTCCATTCAATGTTTGATGTTTTGCCTTATGTCTCTTTTTTATTTAATTTTAGTTCTTATAATTCATGTTTATACGTTGGGTTAAATTTTGTTAGTATGGAGGTATTGTTGTATTCGGGCATTGAATGCTTGCCTTTTATGTTTGGAATCCACCCTGAGTCCCTCTGGGGAGATAGAGTGGAATATAAATATTGTTATCATTATTATTTTGTGTTGCAGCATACATATTCAGTATAATACTATTTAATTAAAGATCAATATATTATTCGTATTATTAATTTATTCAATATAATTCAGTTGGTTGTGTGTTACAATGGGCATACTCCATGAATATTATTGAATTATATTATTAATATATAATTATTATTATTAATTTATAATTCAATATAATTCAGTTGGTCGTGTGTTGCAATGGACTATTATGTATTTATATTTAATTATTAATTATATTATTATTATTATTATTATTATTATTATTATTATTATTAAACTTTATTGGTACCCCGCTAGCATCTCCCGAAGGACTCGATGCGGCTTACAAAGGCCAAGGCCTCAATACACAACATAACAATACACCTAAAGCAATATTAAACAATTAAAGCAATATTAAAAACAACACAATAACAGCAGTAAACAATACACCAAAACACAATAGAAACTGGGCCGGCCAGGGTAAAGGGTACAGGATTAAAAGTGCTGTGACAGGTGATGTGTAAGGATTATAAGGCAAGTGCAGTGTGCAGTGTGCGGCAATCTTAATTCTAATAAAGTCCTTCTGGGACTTGGTATTGGAGATTTCCTATTCGGGGAAGGCACATCGGAACAGCCAGGTCTTCAAGTTCTTTCTGAAGACTGCCAATGTAGGGGCCTGTCTAAGATCTTTGGGGAGGGTGTTCCAGAGCAAATTCCAACACGCTGATCGTGTCTTGCAATGGACGTACTCAATGAATATTATTTATTTATATCCTATTATGCATGAATATTATTTTATAATTCAATACATCCGTTGTGTGTTGCAACAGATGTACTGCCGGTGCTTGACAATCATAACTAGGGCTTACTTTGGCTTATATGACGAGAGTCTTGAAAGAAACCATGCTAGGGCTTGTTTTCCGGTTAGGTCTCCTTCTGGGGGAAATAGCGTCAAATAGATATTCCAGAATCAGGCTGACTTCCTGCCTTGGGTCTGAGAGGTCTGTGCTACTGAGGACATTATCACTCTGGGATATAATCTGCTTATATCAGTACACATTCCATATATATTTTTAGGACTGGATGCCTACTGTATAACATTAGGAAATAATCAATTTCTGAGACTGTTTGAGAATGATTCCGAACGGGTCCCATCACACGATGCTTGCCCATCCTGTCAGTATTCGTCGGAATCTGTCTGCAAAGTGTTGCAGGAGCGGATTCTTTGCAAACAGAATCATAATCTTGTTTTTTGAAATACTACTAATTCTTCTGTTGCAGAAGCAATGCTTTGGTGTGATAGGAAAATGTATGCATCCTATCAGAGACTATACTTTTTAAAAGGCCGTAGAGTGATGTTTGGGGTGTTTTGAATGGATTGGGTGGAGCTGGCCTTCCATGGTGGGATGAGTCAAAGCGCAGCATTTTCAAATCATAAGAATTGTAATAATAATCCAGTGTGATGAGGCGAGAATACATACCGTCTCAATGCAGTAGGCACCTGGTCCTAAAACAATATGGGATGCATACTGACATAAATGGATTATATCCCAATGTAAGAAGGTCTCCGAATTCCAGATTCTGACAGAATACTGATGGGATGGGGATTGAGGGATTGCCTAAGTGAGGGGAAAACATAGTGTAATGGGACTTGTTTAAAATCTTTCTCAAACAGTCTCAGAAACAGCTCTTCAGCAACAGAAGAATCCAGAGTATTTTAAAAAAAACACAATTGGAAGTCTGTCTGCACATAATTTGTTTCTGTGACGCTTTGTAAACGGATTCCAACAGAATATTGACCGGATGAGGCAAGTGTTGTGTGATGGGACCTGTTTGAAACCATCTTGAGAGGTATTTCCTAATGTAATCAGGTCCTGTGCATGTCTTCCCCGCAGGTGGCTGGACTGGGGAACTACAGCCTGCGCGGCACCCGCCACAGCGTGGGCATGGCGGTGCTGGGGCACCTGGCCCACCGGCTGGGCGTGGGCAACCAGTGGGAGACCAACCCACAGTGTCATGCGGACCTGGCCTTCGCCCGGTTAGGAGATGTGGAGCTGGTGCTGATGAGGCCCCGCAGGTTCATGAATGTCAACGGACTCTCCGTCATCGCTGCAGGTAAGAGGGACCCCTTAGCATCCTCAGACTTGAGGCTGCATTTGGAACCATGGCCAAACAATTTATTTATTTATTATTTTATTTACAGTATTTATACTTCACTCTTCTCACCCCACAGGGGACTCAGGGCGGATCACAATGCACATATACAGTGTTCCCTCACTTATCACGGGTGTTACGTTTCAGGACTACCCACAAAAAGTAAAAATTTGCGAAGTAGGGACTCTATATTTATTTTAATATTTATACATTATTTTAATAGTTATACACTATTTTAAGTTTTTATAAACCCTCCCCACACACCTGTACACTACATAACCCTCCTTGAACGTGTTGTTCACGTAATCCTCGGCTCCAGCTTTATCCGCAGAGGCAGCCTCTCCATACAGACAAACACTTTTATGTCCATGGCGCTTCTGAAATTTACCAAACCAGCCCTTGGCGGCAGTGAATTTGCCTGATTTGGTGAGAGAACCAGTCGATGCACGATATTGTTTTTTTTACCAAGTACCACAAAAACCCGCAAAATAGCTAAAATACCGCGATAAATATTTTACATTAATATTTATTGAAAAACAGTGAGTCTGCAAAAAGTGAACCGCGAAGTAGCAAGGGACTACTGTACATGGCAAACATTCAGTGCCATAGACACGCAACATATATAGACAAACACAGAGACAATTTAAGCTTCATGGGGGAATGTTCGAATTCAGGCCACTGGGGGAGCTGTCACTTTACGGTCCACTTGTGGCACCGAGTCCTTGATGGAGTACTTCCTCATTCTTTCACCCGCTGCTGAAGATTTTTATGGTGTTGTAAATTAGTTAAATTAGCCTCCCTGCATAAGCAGTACCTAAATTTCCTACTTGACAGATGCAACTGTCTTTCGGGCTGCAGAGGTCGACAGCAAGCTAGACAAATGGTTGGGAGCTTACTCCAACCTCAGTGGTAATTTAATGCAACTGACTCTTAACTAACTATGCCACAACCCAGTCGATGTGTTGTCAAAGGTATTGAGCAGAGATCAAAGGGCTAGAACATGTATAGGTCAACTTTGGCCCTCCCCCTGTCTTGCGATGTTTCCTAACCATCTGGATCTTCTTCTTGTTTCCAAGTGGAACTCTACAACCTGGGGGTTGAGAATGTCTACCTGGTTCACGACGACCTGGACAAGCCCCTGGGGAAAGTCGCCCTGAAGCTGGGAGGCAGCACCAGGTACCGGGTGTCTTCCAAATCGGTTTGTGGAAAGGAGAGGCTGGGAGTTGAAGTCCAAAACACCTGGATGGCCCAAGTTTGTCCATACCTGCTATAGTGTCTCCAGTATCATAGGCAATAGCTAGTCATATTATTATTATTATTATTAGTAGTAGTAGTAGTAGTAGTAATAGTAATAATACCTTTATTTATATCCTGCCTTTTCCCCCCTGGGGACTCAAAGTGGCTAAGAATCCCACACGAAGTTACTGAAGAAAATGGGAGTAGAAAAGAATGGTTGCATCCAGAAAATTGAAACTGTCAACAAGACAGAAGCAAGCACTGGCATTCCTTCTTCCTTCCTTTGGCATATCCTTCCCTCCCTGTCTGTGCCACGCAATCTGCCTTCCTTCTTTTTTTCCTGCCTTTCTTCTGTTTTCTTCCTTCCAGCCTGCCTTCCATTCTCCATTTTCATTCCCTTCCCTTCTTCCTGCCTTATTCTTTTCCTGGCTTTCCTCCTTTCCTGCCTTCCTCCATCCCTCATTCCTTCCTGCCTTTCCTTTCTTCCTGCCTTATTACTCCTTGCCTTCCTTTCCTTCCTCCATCTCTCCCTCCTGTCTTTTCTTCCTGCCTTCCTTCCTTCATCCTTGCCTTCCTTCCTTCATCCCTCCCTCCTTCCTTCTTCCCTTCCTGCCTTTCCTGCCTTCCTTCCTCTTTGCCATCTTTTCCTTTCTGCCTGTCTTTTCTCCTTTCCTTCCTTCCTCCTTGCCATCCTTTCCTTCCTTCCTTCCTGCCTGCCTGCCTTTTCTCCTGTCCTTCCTTCCTCCTTGCCTTCCTTTCCTTCATTCCTCCTTCCTTCCTTCTTCCTTTCCTGCCTTCCTTCCTCCTTGCCTTCCTTTCCTTCCTTCCTTCCTTCCTGCCTGCCTGCCTGCCTGCCTGCCTGCCTGCCTTTTCTCCTTTCCTTCCTTCCTGCCTGCCTGCCTTTTCTCCTTTCCTTCCTTCCTCCTTGCCTTCCTTTCCTTCATTCCTCCATTCCTCCCTCCCTCCTTCCTTTCTTCCTTCCTTCTTCCTTTCCTGCCTTCCTTTCCTTTCCTTCCTTCCTTCCTTCCTCCCTCCATCCCTCATTCCTTCCTGCCTTTTCTCCTTTCCTGCCTCCCTCCTTGCCTTCCTTTCCTTTCTTCCTTTATCCCTCCCTCTTGCCTTCCTGCCTTTCCTTCCTTCTTCCAGCCTTTCCTTTCCTTCCTCCCTTTCCTTCCTTCCTCCCTCTGACCCTCCCTCCTTCTTGCCTTCTTCCCTTCCTACCTTTCTTTCTTTCCTTCCTTCCCTTCCCTTCTTCCTCCTTCCTTCCTGGGATATTGACCAGTGTTTTGTTTCTCTCTCTTTCAAGGGGTCACAACGGGGTCCGTTCCTGCATCAGCTCCCTGCACTCCGACGTAAGTCCACACTCTTTTCTGGTTCCTGTCCAAGGGTGGAATCGTGGCGCATTCACAGCCATGTCTGTTCAAAGCTCAGCTTGTCGCTGATTGAGAGCCTTTGCGCCCCGTGCCATGTTTCCCATCTTGTTCAAGGAGGCGGTTCCTTAAAGTGGAAACAGAAGGGTTGACCGCAGGCCCCAAACATGCCTGAGTGTCTCCAGGATTACGTACAGCTGGAATGTTGTTCCTTTCCATTGGTAGGGCAGAACAGAGGGAACAACATCATCTGCTCTTGTTTAGAGGGCGGGAGGATGAACCCCATTCTCCAGACCACAAAATGAAACATAAGCCATCCCAAGCACAAGAGAATAATCTGAATTTTAATGGAGGTGATCCCATTATTTTGACTAGTTTGTGTTATTCAGTCTCTAATCAAACAGAGCTTGGAAGAAAGGAGGAGGAGAGGAAAATCTATTCTACATGTAACCAATCCGTCTCTTATTGGGTGATTTTTAAAGATGGAGTGAATGGAAGACTCTCAACGTGGCTTCAAAGTCTGGCCAAGTGTAGAATTTGTCAGATGACTTGAAAGAACTTTATTGGCATTTAATTATTGGCTACTTCTAGGATTTATTCTCCTCCTTTGGCCACAAAACTCTTGTCGTTGGTGACAGATGGAACAAACCTCCATAAAACTAATGCAGTTCTGTTATCCAAACATGCAAGAAACAATAGGGTTCAGATCCGAATGAAAGGGTCGTGAACACTGTTAGAAGTAAGGGAGGCCAGATTGCTGCCATTAATGGTGGTTCTCGACTGTTGTTTTATTCAGGCAGAGATAAAAAACCCCATTCATCCCTTCTTCTAGAAACCCAGGTGTCAATTCACCTTTGAAACGGGTTACAGGACTCCTTTTGTATTGTTTAGCTTGAAAACTGTTAGGAATTGTGGGAGTTGAAGTCCAAAACACCTGAAGGGAGGGAAGAAGTTGGGCCAGGCCTGGGAAACCCTATGATAAATCAGAGTCAACTAAAACAACAACGGAGGAAAACACATTGATCTAATTTCTTGCTTCTCCAATCTTTACAGGCCACAAACCCAAACTTAGGGTATATGTGATTGTCTAGAAATTATGTTTTGCTTTTCACATGTATGTACAGCATTGAATTTTGCCACTAAAGTGTTCCCTCACTTGTTGTGGGGGACCTCCCGTGATAAGTGGAAATCCACAAAGTAGGGACACTAATATACATTTTTAATATATTTTTCTACATCTTTTAATATCAGAAATGCCTTGCTTGGCTTACCAGGCAAAGGCCGTTGTGGTGGTGGGCGCCCTCCCTCCAGTCATACTGCTTGCAGGGGGCTTCTTATTCCCAGAGAAGTTTCCCGCYGCTTGGCCAGCTGGCCAACCAGCAGCAGCACATCCCCCCCCCCCCCCACGTCGGATTGGCTATGGCAGCCCTGCAAAGGCTGCCGGGGTGAGGTGGGGAAACTGGCCCTGGCCAATCCAGCTATGGGACCGGGCCTGCGGCTGATTGGACTTTGCAGGGCTGCTCTGGGCCTCCGCAGGGCTCCGTGGCCTCCGCAGGGCTGCCATAGCAAGATGGAGAAGCCGGCCACGGCTGCCACGGAGTCCTGTGGAGGCCCAGGACAGCCCTGCAAAGGCTGCCGGGGCGAGGTGGGGAAGCCGGCTCTAGCCAATCCAGGGGCAGGGCAGGGCCTGCCACTGGTCGGCCAGTCAGCCAAGGGGCAAGAAACCTCCCACCACGCAGGGAGCTTCTGGGAAGAAGCCCCCTGCAAGCAGTGTTTCACTTTCCGCGGCCTGGCTGTTTAATGGATAGGGTTGAGAATTAATATTTTTAATATATTTTATACATTTTGTTATTTTAAAACCACAAAATGTATAAAAATATATTAAAAATATTAATTCTCAACCCTAACCGCGAAACAGTGAGTCTGCGGAAAGCAAACCACGAAACAGCAAGGGAACACTGTATTATGCTGGAAACCCTCAGGGGTGAGAAAAATGGTAATGTAATGGTTTTCCCCTGACATTAAGTCTAATCCTGTTCAACTCTGGAGGTTGGTACTCATCTCTGTTTCTAAGCCAAAGAGCTGGCGTTTTCCGTAGACACCTCCAAGTTCATGTGGCCACTGGCATGACTACATGGAGTGCTGTGAATACCAAGAATAGTGATAGCAGGAAGAACAAGCACACACGGCCTTTCGTCTCTCTTCTTCCAGCGCATGGTCCGCCTCAGAGTGGGCATCGGCCGGCCTGTGGGGGAAATCTCCGTCGACCATTACGTCCTCAGCCAGTTCTCCATCACCGAGCAAAGCCTTCTGCCACTTGTCTACGAGAAGGCGGTCGATACACTCCTCAGCCACATCCGGCGGACTCACCAGAGCCAGGCAGACTCAACCTCTGCCAAGAAAGCGGCCAAAGCCCCCCTCAAGACAGAGGAGACGTAACCATAACTAGTGCTTTGTGCCTTGTGACCAGAAGAAAGCAGTCCTCTGGGGTTTTTGCTTGTCGTTTTTTAGGGACAGAGTGGATGGTGGTTTGCGTGTTGTGAACATGCCTGAGATTGCTAGGGATAATACAGTTGGGGACCGGATCTGGAACTGACAGTGTCTGGGAAGGGAGGGGAAAATAGATAACTTGTTTGTCTCCCATCCAAGCTGTCCCTGCTTTGCTCCCAAGACCAGGCAGGATCTGGTACCTTTAGGGTACTTGCGTCACAGGCTCACAGGTGACCTTACCTGTTATTCTTTCAAGTGATAAGGCATCTCCTTGGCTTACTTGAAAGTCCAAGTCTGCGATTGCCAGTTTCTTGAGCCACATCTGAATGTTGTTTACTCACGCTGCCCCTTTTAAGGACACATCCTAGGCTGAAAGAAGGGCCCCAAGACACCCAACAGAGCCCTTGCTTTGTCTGCAGGTGAGGCTCTTATCTCAGAGCCGTGGGTTCAAATAACAGGGAGGGAGACTCCACCTGAACACTGGCCATAAAAAGAGCTGTTCAACGGTGGAACTCTCTGCCTCAGGGTCCTGCAAAGGCTTTTAAACAGTGGCTGGATGGCCATCTGTTGGAAGGGCTTTGTGCTTTTTCTGCAGGTCAGAAACAAAGGGGTTGGACTAGATCAGTGGTTCTCAACCTGGGGTCCCCAGATGTTTTTGGCCTACAACTCCCAGAAATCCCAGCCAATTTACCAGCTGTTAGGATTTCTGGGAGTTGAAGGCCAAAAACATCTGGGGACCCCAGGTTGAGAACCATTGGACTAGATGGTCCTTGGGAGTCTCTTCCAATATGTTTAAACTTTCAGAATTGCAAGTTTTAGCATCAACTCTTAGTGGAAAAATACAATCATTACAGTAGCGAATTGCTTACTCAGAGTAGTTGCTACCAACCGAAGTTTGTGTGTGTGTGTGTCAGGAACTGCAAGTTGCTTCTGGTGTGACAGAATTGGCCATCTGCAAGAACACTGCCCAGGGGACGTTGCCTGGATGTGTTACCATCCTGTGGGAGGCTTCTCTCATGTCCCCGCATGGGAAGCTGGAGCTGACAGATGGGAGCTCACCCCACTCCCCGGATGTGAACTGCCTACCTTTTGGTCAGCAGTCCTGCTGGCACAAGGGTTTAACCCATTGCGCCTTTGGGGGCTCCTACTAACCAAAGTAACAAATTGCTTATTCAAAGTAGTTGTGACCAGTGAAAGTAATTCATTGTTTACTCAGGAGCTGTTGCTACCCTCCTGGGAAACTTACTCACCAGTCCATAAGCTGTCCCATGCCTCCCTCGTTCGGGACTTGGGACACATCCATCACTCTGTAACTTTTATGGGGCGGATTTGTATAGGCTTCTCTACATTAAAAAAAATAAGTCCCCAAAGGCGTGTGACGTTGTCCCGTGGAGGGAGGGAAAGGGCTTAAAGGCTCCTCCCCAAAGTCAAGTTGGGCTCAATCTCCTACTCCTCATCCGGTGCCTGTTGGGCTACCACTTCCTCCTGCTGAATGGGTTCCTCCTGTGCCGCTGTTTCCTTTGGCGAAAGAGCCTCCTCCTTCACCGGAGTCCTCCATGCCGTCACCAAAGGCTGCAAAGGAACAGAGCAGAGGCTGAGCAAAGTGCCTTTCTTCTGACTTGTCTGAGTCAATATTTATATTCGGCCCTTCTCACTCCTTGCCTGTTGCAATCAGTGAGGGCATCTGCATAGTAATGAAGCAAGTGGAGTGTATACTTACTTACTTAGGCGATCCCTCGTTGTCCGAGTAGGATAGTCTTCCAGGATCAGTGTCCTGGCGGTGGGTCTGTAGGTGACTCTGGAGCCCTATTCTTGATCTGCATCTCCTGCAGTGAGGGCATCGGTTTCCAGACGGAAGGCGGTCCTGGTTGAGGTTGGCTTGGCACGCTTTCCTCTTGGCACGTTTCTCTCTTTCGCCCTCCATTTGTGCCTCTTCAAATTCTACAGCACTGCTGGTCACAGCTGACCTCCAGTTGGAGCTCTCAAGGGTTCTCAGTGTCTATACCAGAGTTTTTAAGGTTGGTTTTCAGCCCATCTTTCAATCTCTTTTCCTACCCACCAATATTCCGTTTTCCATTCTTGAGCTCGGAGTAGAGCAACTGCTTTGGGAGACGGTGGTCAGCATCCGGACAACATGGCCGGTCCAGCAGAGTTGATGTTGGAGGACCATCACTTCAGTGCTGGTGGTCTTTGCTTCTTCCAGCACGCTGACATTTGTCCGCTTGTCCTTCCAAGAGATTTCCAGGATTTTCCGGAGGCAGCGCTGATGGAATCGTTCCAGGAAATTGCATGTGACGTCTGTAGACAATCCGTGTCTCGCAAGAATATAGCAGGGTTGGGAGGACAATAGCTTTATAAACAAGCCCCTTGCTATCCCTACGGATGTCCCGGTCCTCAAACTCTGCTTCATTCGGAAGAATGCTGCACTTGCAGATCTCAGGTGGTGTACTTCGATGTCTATGTTGACTTTGGTGGAGAGGTGGCTGCGAAGGGAGCGGAAATAGTCCATATTTTCTAATGTTACACCATTAAGCTGTATTTCTGGCATTGGAAAGGGGTTGGCTGGTGACTGCTGGAAGAGCACTTTGGTTTTCTCAATGTTCAATGACAGGCCGAGCTTCCTGTATGCTTCTGCAAAGAGTGGCTTGTAGGTCTTCTTCTGAATGCGCACAGATGACGTTGTCATCAGCATACTGGAGTTCTATAACAGATGTTATAACCTTGGTTTTGGCTTTCAGTCTGCTGAGGTTAAATCATCTGTCCGATAGATGATTTCCACTCCGGTGGGAAGCTTCCCGTCAACAAGATAAAGTATCATAGCGATGAAGTTGGAAAATAAAGTTGGGGCAATAACACAACCCTAATTGACACCTGATTCCACATAAAATGGGTCACCTTGGGAGCCATTGCTGTCCAAGTGTATACGTAGCTGTGGAATGGTGTTCTGTGTGGGAGAAAGCAAAAACCCTTGTCTTTTGCAATTAGTAAGCTTTAATACCATTGAGTAGCCGTGAAGCTGCAAAGTCAACCAGCGAAGGGTTTTGCATAGAGGTCGCCTGGCCTCTGTTGCTTGGGGGCCTCTGTTTGGGAGGTGCTAACTGGCACTTAATTCTTTACTATCTGAAATTCCCCTGTTGCTGAGTGGTGGTCTTTATTTACTGTCTTGATTCTGATGTTTTATTTATTTTTTAAAATACTGTTTAGCCATATTTTGTTTATTTTCATGGTTCCTTCCTTTATGCTAAAATTGTCCACATTCTTATGGATTTCAATGCTAATTTGAACAAACTATCAAATTTCATGGCTGGAATCACTGGGTTATTATAGGGTTTTTTGGGCTATATGGCCATGTTCTAGAGGCATTCTCTCCTGACATTTCGCCTGCATCTATGACAGGCATCCTCAGAGGTAGTGAGGTCTAATTGCTAGGTCTAATTGCCAGTTAACACCTCCCAGGCAGAGGATGCCTTCAGGCAACAACAGCCAAGCTACCTCTATGCAAATACCCTCACTGATTGACTTTGCAGCTGCAGGGCGACTCAATTCTAATTGTGATATCCACACTTGCTTCAAACAGGCAAGGGTTCTTTCTCCCACCCAGGACATTGTTCCACAGGGATATATATACACTCCACTTACCTCACTAGCAACAGAACCTCTGAAGATGCAGTAGCCACAGATGCAGGCGAAATGTCAGGAAGGAACATGGTCATACAGCCTGGAAAACTCAACAATGCACTGTTTAATATGTTTTTGGTCCAAAATAAATTGATTTTGTTGCACAGTCAACAAAATCCCTTACCTCTGTGGCGCTGGCATAGGGGCGTAGGGTGTCGACCCGGCTCCGGACCACGGTGCTCATGGAGGGCATACTGTGAGCGGGGCGAGGCTTTGGGATTCTGGAGACATCGTAATGCGACATCAGGTGGGCAGGCTTGAGGTGCACTCCTGTGCGAGGACTAAGAGAGAGAAGTACCATGAGGAAATCATTGGGGCCAAAGACACAAAGCTCTCCTGCTCCAAAAACAAATAGGAGCCAAGGCGGGGGGCTCTTGAAACCCGAAGCCAGTCCTCCTCAACCTATTAGTCCTCCAGTTATTTGGATTAAGAATACTCAACTAAACTACAAAGCTGAAGTCCAAAACACCTGGAGGGCTACAAGTTGAGGAGGTCTGCTAAGCCAAGGTGGGGAATCTGTCATAAGTCAGCATTACAGTTGTGATAAATACAATATGTGGTTTGAATCAAATTGTATGATATGGGCCAACGTTAGCCCTCCCTCCAGGTGTTTTGGACAATTGTGGGTGTTGGAGTCCAAAACACCTAGAGGGAGGGCTGAAATTGACTCACAACTTTGTCCTCTTGGAATTGGACACCGTAGCAAGGGAGGGAGACTATTTCTTTATCTAAGAAAAACCTCTTTACTCTTATAATGATTCAGTTTCTTCTTTTATATTAGCTGGGACTTTCTGTGTGCTGTTTAACCTTTGTACAAACAATGAGACACTCTTCTGTATAACGAAGTAACACAGTTTATAAGTTCTGGCTCCAACGCTTGCGGTTACTTGTGTGTTTTGTTGCAATATTGAGGCTTACAGTCAGTATAATATACTTGGTTTACTTTTCTGAAATAGACTTTCAATGTTTCACATTCACAAACATGTTACTTGCTTTACACACTCTTGACTGAAATTATATTCTGACTAAAGCACCACTGGCTTTCTTTATGTTCCTAAAACTTGAGCTCTATTTAACTAACTGCTTCTATATATCATCTTCATTACTGCTTATTTCTAACAGGAGTTCATAACTCTTTTCTCTCACAGAAGTTCCTAACTGTCTCTCACAAACAGGAATCCCAAACTCTCCTCACAAACAGCAATTCCTAACTCATCTCACAAACAGCAATTCCTAACTCCCCCTTTTGACTCTCTAACTGCCTATTTTAAAACTTTGGCTCCGCCCCTCTCTCCAACTGTCATTTTGGCCTAGCAACCCTTTCAAATCCTGGGCCTACGCTAATCTGCATATGACCAATCGGCTCCCATATGCAAATGAATCCTATCTCTGCTGTTGCTACCCTGTCTGTGCCTATTCTTCCCTATCTGCCATATGTAAACATAGAGCTATACACCAAAAATTTTAACATAGAGTAGCAATTTCGCTACAGACACTTAATCAAGGGATCATCTGCATATCCACGTTGTAGGAGTCCAAAACACCTGGAGCAAGGGCTGAAGTTGACCCACGCCTTTGTCCTCTTAGAACTGGACATTTAAGTCAATCAAGGGATCATCTGCATACCCATGTTGTGGGAGTCCAAAACACCTGGAGGAAGGGCCAAAGTTGACCCACACCTTTGTCCTCTTGGAATTGGACGCCTAAATCAATCAAGGGATCATCTGCATACCCAAGTTGTGGGAGTCCAAAACACCTGGAGGGAGGGCCAAAGTTGACCAACATCTTTGTCCTCTTGGAACTGGACAAGGGATCAACTGCATATACACGCTGTGGGAGTCCAAGACACCTGGAGGGAGGGTCGAAGTCGACCCACACCTTTGTCCTCTTGGAACTGGACAAGGGATCAACTGCATATACACGCTGTGGGAGTCCAAAACACCTGGAGGGAGGGCCAAAGTTGACCCACACCTTTGTCCCCTTGGAATTGGACACTTAAGTCAATCAAGGGATCATCTGCATACCCATGTTGTGGGAGTCCAAAACACCTGGAGGGAGGGCCAAAGTTGACCCACACCTTTGTCCTCTTGGAACTGGACAAGGGATCAACTGCATATACACGCTGCGGGAGTCCAAAACACCCGGAGGGAGGGCCAAAGTTGACCCATGCCTTTGTCCTCTTGGAATTGGACACTTCAGACAAGAAAGTTGGGAGTCCAAAACACATGGAAGGAAGGCCAAAGTTGGCCTTGCCTGCTATAGAGGATGAACAACGTGCCAGTCACAACTTTTTGGAGCAACAACAGCAGGAAAATTGCTATATAAGAGACCTTTTTACTATCCAAAAGTGTGGCAGACAGTGTCACTTTCTCCAAGGGACGGAGAAGATGGTGCGTTTGCACAATGGCAGGTTTGTAGGAAACACAATCTGGCTCACGTTCTGTTGTGTACAGAACCTTTTATTTCCTTTCCTTACCTGTCATCCATGTCGACGGACAACCTGACCATCTTGTTCTCTTCCGTGAGAGGCCGGAGCATCTCCTTGGCCTCGATGCGCGCAATGCTTCGGTTCAAAAGCTTCAGGATGCCCTGCAGAGCGTCGTTGCGGCGCACGTGGAAGATTACACCCAAGCCACCATCTTCATCCTCATCGGACGGCCGTTGCTGCAGAAGGAGAGAGGAAGGACAGCGGTGAACAGGGCAACATGGTGTAAGTACATCTTGGGAGTCGGATTTTGTCAACCATCCAGATAATGCTGTTTCTTTTCTGATTCATTTCCCATGAATTGCCGGGACGGTATGGCATTTCAAACCCAGCGTGGGAGGTGTCTTCCTTTCTGCTCCCAGGACTTTCTGAGACAGAGAAGACACCTCTCGGACCTCTATCTTTCTTCTTCCATTCTGTACTTCTGGGTCCCCTCAATTCTGCCATTACAGCTCAAAAAAGGGGAAGACTATTTACAAGAAGAGAGGGAGGAAAAGAAGTTAAGAATAGGAGTGAGAGAGAGAAGGAGGGAGGGAATGAATGAATGAATGAATAGGGGAGGAAGGGAGGAGGAAGGAATAAGGATATAAGGAAAGAATTGAAGGAGGGAGRGAGGAAAGGGAGAAGGAAGGAAAGAATRAGGAAGGAATGTATATGGGAGGGAGGGAGAAGAAAGGACGGAGGGAGGAAAGGGAGAAGGAAGGCAGGAATAGAGGGAGGAAAGGAATTAGGTGGAGAAGGAAGGAATAAGAGAGGGAGGGAGGAAAGGAATTAATGAATTAATAAGGAAGGAAGGGAGGAAAGGGAAAAGGAAGGAAGGAACAAGGAAGGGAGGAAAGGAATGAATAAGGGGGGGGRAGGAAGGAATAAGGAAGGGTGGGAGAAAAGGAAGGAAGGAATAAGGGAGGCAGGGATAAGGGAGGGAGGAAAGGAATGAATGAATTAAAAGGGGCAAGGGAAGTGARAAGGATGGAAGGAATAAGGAAGGGAGGAAAGGAATGAATGAGGGAGGGAGAGGGAGGGAGGGAGGAAAGGGAGAAGGAAGGATGGGAGGAAAAGAAGGAAGGAAGGAATAAGGGAGGCAGGGATAAGGGAGGAAAGGAATGAATGAATGAATGAAAAGGAGGGAGGGAAGGGAGAAGGAAGGAAGGAATAAGGGAGGGAGGGAAGAAAKAAATAAAATGATGAATAAGGGAGAGAAGGAAGAGAGAAAAGGAGGGAGGGAGAAGAAGTGAGAATGACTAAGTCCTCGGGGCTAGAAAAAGAGCCAAATCACTACAGGGGTACAAATTATTATTATTATTATTATTATTATTATTATTATTCCCAGGCGTCCCATTCACTGCTGAGCAGGAGGCAAGGGAAAAGGAGCCTGTGTGGCCCTCTGCCTCGTTCTCACCGCCAAGATCTCCTTCAGCCCGGCGGCCATATGCCGCAGCACTCTCTCCGCAAACATCCTCCGCTCGTGCTCGTCTTGGAAGGCCTTGGCTTGGTCCTGATGCTCAGAGTGCTTCCGCATGATGTTGGCTTTCAGAGTGTTCAGCTCCTCTCTGGGGCAAGATTGATTGAGAATACCATTAGAATGTATATAAAACCACAAACAGAGTTAAAAACTTGGCATTATATTAAATTTCAATATATTGTTGAAGGCTTTCATGGCTGGAATCACTGGGCTGTAGGTTTTTTGGGCTATATGGTCATGTTCTAGAAGCATTCTCTCCTGACGTAAGAGAAATGTATGTATGTATGCATGGCCTTCACTTCACTTGACTTCTTAAAAGCTGCAAAATTAGGCCAGCATCTAGGAAAAGGAATGTCTAGAGGCCTGACATATTTCAAGAGGCCCCATCTTATCGTAAGACTAATGAGGTGGCCATTAAGAGGTTTCAGAAGACCTTATCTTAGGATGGATGGAGACTCTTGCTATCAGGTCCAGTAGACATTCTGGTGATGGTCCTCATTAATAGCAACTCTTCAGATAGGGATGCTAATGAAGATTGACAAGGTGTTGAGTTTGAAAATATGCTATTGAAGTCAATGTAAAAGTAGAATTTTGTGACACACATTGTGATGTCTGTATGATGCAGGCATAATTATTTTAAAAGGTATATAAACCAAGGATTTCCTTTGTTCTGAACCCTTCTTTCCTGGCTTACCAGGAGGGTCCATATCCGGTTGGCGCCAACCGAGAATAAAGCCGTGCTTTTCAGTTCTCAGCATCTCTCTTTGTCTCTCTTCCTCAAAGCTTCTCCCTGCCATTTCAAAGCAACCTCTGAGGATGCCTGCCACAGATGCAGGTGAAACGTCAGGAGATAACGCTTCTAGAACATGGCCATATAGCCCGAAAAACCTACAGCAACCCATATTAAATTTCCTTTGACCAGAAGCTGGCCACTTTCTCTCACTGAGGAGACACTGACCGGAGTGCCGCATTCAGCTCCTCGAGCCTTTCATTGCTCTCCTGGGTTTGGGCCACGACCTTCTTCATTTGCACGTATTCGTCCACTTGGGCCTGCAGCTCTTTGCATTTGTTGGTGAGCATCCAGATCACCTGTGCAATGAAAGCGTGGAATCTTAAAGACACGCAAAGAGACCAGGACTAGGAGGAGGAGCATTCCCTAGCAGTCCTCCCTGACCTTGTGGTTGCTGACGCTGTTCCTGGCCATGAGCTTCTCGTTCTGCTCCAGCAACTTCAGCTGCTTCAGGGCTTCGGCGTGGGCCTCCTTCAGCCGGTCGTTCTCCTGGATGAGCTGGAGGCTCTGCTCTGTGATCTTGGTCAGCTGGATGCTGATGGCCACGTTCTCCCGGATGGTGCGCTTGGTGGTCTCCGCCATCTGGTTGTTGGAGACTTTCCGGAATTCAGCCGCCACGGCATTCACTCGGTGCAGCATGTCTTTCTTCAGCCTGAAGAGGAGGAGGAGGAAGAAGAGGACGGTGTCACTGATGGTATAAAGCTGGCGCAGTCTTACTCCATCTTATATTGCAGTAGACTGTGCTGGGAATGCTTTTAACTAATTGTGGTTTTTTATATAGTTTTAATAATGCTGTATCTATTTAGTTTTACCTGGTTTTTAATTACACAGGTGCTAATCCATGCAGTATGTCGTATTTTAAGGGTCCATCTAGCCATTGATATATGTAGCATTTTAATGATTTATAGGATTTATATTGCATTCAAGAATCTGGTTTTCATGTATTTATTTATTTGCCTTATATATGAAAGACTTATGGTCTAAGCATCAAATATGTTTGAAACAATCTAACTCAAGCCTGGGCCAACTTCGGCCCTCCCTCCAGGTGTTTTGGACTTCAACTCCCACAAAATAAAAGTCCAGGAAATGTATTGTTGAAGGCTTTCATGGCTGGAATCACTGGGTTGTTGTAGGTTTTTTGGGCTAAACGGCCATGTTCTAGAAGCATTATCTCCTGACGTTTCGCCTGCAAGCATCCTCAGAGGTTGTGAGGTCTATGGCAAGCATCCTCAGAGGTTGTGAGGTTACTTGCCATAGATGCAGGATGCTTGCCATAGATGCAGGCAAAACGTCAGGAGAGAATGCTTCTAGAACATAGTCATATAGCCTGAAAAACCTACAACAGCTCAGTCCAGGAAATGTTATCAAATGCCTTCTCTGCATCCAAGAATATCAATGCTTCTTGCTGGTCTTTATACCCCTGTAGATATTCTATAGCATTCTATACCATATGTTCCAGGCATGGACCAACTTCAGCCCTCCCTCCAAGTGTTTTGGACTTCAACTCCCACAAAATGAAACTCCCAAGAAATGTTATCAAATGCCTTCTCTGCATCCAAGAACATCAATGCTTCGCTCCTGTAGATATTCTATAGCGTTCTATACCATATATTCCAGGCCTGGGCCAACTTCGACCCCACCCTACAAGTGTTTTGGACTTCAACTCCCACAAAATGAAACTCCCAAGAAATGTTATCAAATGCCTTATCTGCATCCAAGAACATCAACGCTTCGCCCCTGTAGATATTCTATAGCATTCTATATTCCAGGCCTGGGCCAACTTCGACCCTCCCTCCAAGTGTTTTAGACTTCCACAAAATGAAACTCCCAAGAAATGTTATCAAATGCCTTCTCTGCATCCATCGCCCCGTCCTTCGTTTTGAACAACCTGCCAGGAAAAAAGGGGCAGCACACACCTTTCTTTGTCGATCACCGCTTTCTTCTCCATGTTGTAAACAGTGGCCTTGTGGTCCTCCTCCTGCTTCGTCAGCTGGCCCTCAAGGTCGGCAAACCTGGCCATGATCTCGTCTTTCTGGATGCGAAATTCCTCCAAAGCCGCCAACTTGGCACCTGGCCGAGAGGAAGGAAACAAGGGAGCGGGACAGACCCTTAAATTCCACAAGCACACAGGCCCTCCATGACAACATACGTCTCTCTGACACACACGCAGAGAGAGATCTCAAAGCACAAACTGAAAGTGATAAAACAGCCCTTTCAAAATGGTACAGAACATCCTCACCCCATCCATTTGCAAAGAATGCATAGAGGTGGGTTTGTCATCCCCTTCCTCTCACCTACAGCCTCAAGCACCTGATATATTCCTGGCAGCAATGGGAAGAGACGGAGAATGCATTACATATTGCTTGACCAAAGGAAGCCAGAGCTGCCCTGAATTTGCAAGAACTGAGCAGGTCCATTGATGTGATTGCTCTTGTTGTTACTTTGATTGTGCTTTTCCTACCTGGAAGAATGGGGTTGGACTGGAGGGCCCTTGGGTTTGCTCTTGTTGTTACAGTATTTTCTGTTGGTCATGGGGGGTTCTGTGTGGGAGGTTTGGCCCAATTCTATCGGGTTCAGAGTGCTCTTTGATTGTAGGTGAACTATAAATCCCAGTTACTACAACTCCAAAATGTCAAGGTCTATTTTCCTCAAACCCCATCTGTGTTCACATTTGGGCATATGGAGTATTCGTGCCAAGTTTGGTCCAGATCCATCATTGTTTGAGTCCACAGTGCTCTCTGCATGTAGGTGAACTACAACTCCCAGACTCAAGGGCATTGCCCACCAAACCCTTCTACCATTTTCTGTTGGTCATGGGAGTTCTGTGTGCCAAGTTTGGTTCAATTCCATCGTGGGTGGAGTTCAGAGTGCTCTTTGATTGTAGGTTAACTATAAATCCCAGCAACTACCACTCCCAAATGACAAAATCATTTTTTTTTAGTGAAGGACATACATTGGACTGAGAGGTGTCTTGTGGCCAGATTTGGTGTCAATTTGTCCAGTGGTTTTTGAGTTCTGTTAATCCCACAAACGAACATTACTTTTTTATTTATATAGACGAAACAATAAATAATAAAATAAATTATTATTATTATTATTTTACTGACACAAAAGCACAGTATGTCACAGCAAATGCGATCTATGTGCTGTATTTCGTATCACAAAATCACAAGTCGAACACTTCCCAAGCGTCTAGGACTGTGATTATTATTATTATTATTATTATTATTATTATTATTATTATTATCGACTATTAGGAATTGTGGAAGTTGGAGTCCAAAACACCTGGAGGGATGCAGTTTGCCCATACCTGTTCTAACTAGAATAGACATGGCAACACTGGAATACACCAACTTACATACTTAACATATATACTACAACAAGACAAACAAACTGGCTTTCTAGTTCTAACGAGTCAGCTCACATAATAATAATAATAATAATAATAATAATAATAATAATAATAATGATGTGCGCATCATTCGAAAATACATCACACAGTCCTAGACGCTTGGGAAGTGTTCGACTTGTGATTTTGTGATACGAAATCCAGCATAGAGATCTCATTTGCTGTGACATACTGTGCTTTTGTGTAAATAATAATAATAATAATAATAATAATAATAATAATACCCCGCCACCATCTCCCCAATGGAGACTCGGGGCGGCTTACATGAGGCCAAGCCCAACAGTGCATTAGAATAAAATAAAAGCAAAGCACAAGACAACAACACAATAAAGTAAATAAATCATAAGAATACAATAGGACAGTGTTTCTCAACCTTCCTAATGCTGTGACCCCTTAATACAGTTCCTCATGTTGTGGTGACCCCCAACCAGAAAATTATTTTTTTGCTATGTCATAACCGAATCGTAATGCAAATTATATGATATGCAGGATGTATTTTCATTCACTGTACCCAATTTGGCACAAATACCCGATATGCCCAAATTTGAATACTGGTGGGGTTGATAAGATTGATTTTGTGATTTGGGAGTTGTAGTTGCTGGGATTTATAATTTACCAACAATCTAAGAGCATTCTGAACTCCACCAACGATAGAATTGGGCCAAACTTGACACACAGAACTCCCACGACCAACAGAAAATACTGGAAGGGTTTGGTGGGAATTGACCTTGAGTTTGGAAGTTGTAGTTCACCTACATCCAGAGAGCACTGTGAACTCAAGCAATGATAGATCTGGACCAACTTGGTACGAATATTCGTTATGCCCAAATGTGAAACTGGTGGAGCTTGAGGAAAATAGACCTTGACATTTGGGAGTTGTAGTTGCTGGGATTTATAGTTCACTTACAATCAAAGAGCATTTTGAAACCCACCAATAGAATTGGGCCAAACTTCCTGCACAGAACCCCCACGATCAACAGAAAACACTGGAGGGATTCGGGATGAATTGACCGTGATTTAGGGGAGATATAGTTCATCTACATCCGGAGAGCACTGTGAACCCAAACGACTATTCCAAAGGGTTTCCTAAGACCATCAGAAATACCTGTTTTCTGATGGTCTTCGGTGACCCCTCTGAAACCCCCTCACGACCCCCCCAGGAGTCCCGACCCCCAGGTTGAGAAACACTGCAATAGACAATATAAAATAATACAACAAAATCATTCACAATTACAATGAGCGGGCCACGTGTAGAAGATAAAATGTTAAAATCTCAGGGTGAGATAGGAGTGGAGCAGAACATCTGTAAGGGAGATGTTTACAAAATGTTATACAGCCACACTTCTACATTTATTAACATGCTACGAGCTTCTAAGTCCCAGACTTGCAGGGGAATCTGGAGGAATGGCAGGAGTGCTTCAATAGGGCTAAGGCCGGCCCTTGACCTGCAACCATTGTCCTTCCCTTCCTTTTGGATCTTCCCAACTTACTGAGCGTCATGTTCTCCGTGGTGAGGACGTCCTTGGTCTCCTGGAACTCGTGCCGCAGCTGGGCCAGCTGGGCCTCAAAGGCGTCCTTCTCCATGTCCTTGGCCTGTTGCAGGTTCTGCAGTTGGAGGGTGAGGTCCGCGATCTCGTCCACCCGCTGGTTGAGCGTCTTCTTCAGGAAGGACACAATCTCCTTGTTGTCGGCGATCATCTTCTCGTATTCGGTGCGGAAGAGCTCCTCGCTGACTTGCAACTCGTCCCATTTCTTCTGGTACCTAAACCCGCGAGGGAAACCAGTCCGCATCAGAGCCAACGTGCTCAGTATTAGATGTTTATGCTAAAATGTGAAAGGTCTCAGGTGGTTAGGCCAGAGAAAAAGTTTAACCTTTCATAGAATAATAGAGTTGGAATCATGAGGTCTCATGAGTCCAACCCCATTCTGCCAAGAAGCAGGAAAATCGCATTCAAAGCACCCCTAACAGATGGCCACCCAGCCTCTGTTTAAAAGTCTCTAAAGAAGGAGCCTCCACCATACTCCGGGGCAGAGAGTTCCACTGCTGAACAGCTTTCACAATCAGGAAGTTCTTCCTAATGTTCAGAAGAGGAGGAGGAGGAAGAAGATTAAGAAGAAGAAGAAAGAGGAGGAAGAATGAATAGGAGAAAGAGGAGGGAAAAGAAGAGGATGAAGAGGAAGAGAAGGGAGAAGAAGAGGAGGGAGAATGAGGAGGAGGAAGGAGGAGCAAGAGAAGGAGGGAGCAGAAGAGGATGAGGAAGAGAACGGGGAAGGAGGAGGGGAGGAAAGAAGGAGGAAGAGAAGGAAATAAGAGAAAAAGAAAGAGGAAAGAAGGAAGGAGAAAGGAAAGGGAGAGAGAGGAAGAAAGGGAGGAGAAGAAGAGGAGGAAAGGGAGAAAGGAAGGAAGAGGACAAGAGAAAAGAGAAAGAGGAAGAGAGAAGAGGAGAGGAGAGAAGAGGAAAAGGAGGAGGAAGAAAGACAAGAGAGAAAGAGGAGAAGAGGAGAGAGAGAAGGAAGAAGAAGAGGGAGGAAGAAGGAGTAGGAGCAAGAGAAGGAGGGAGCAGAAAAGGATGAGGAAAAGAAGGGGAAAGGAGAGGAGGAGGAGGAGGAGGAGGAAAGAGAAGGAGAAAGAATGAAGAGGAAGGAGTGGGAGCAAGAGGAGGGAGCAGATGGGGATGAGGAAGAGAAGGGGGAAGGAGGAGGAGGAAAGAAGGAGAAAGAGGAGGAAAGAAGGAGCAAGAGAAGGAAGAGGAGCAAGAGGAGGAAGATGAGAAGGAAGAAGAGAAGAAGGAGAAAGAGGAGGAGGGAGAAGGAAAAAGAAAAGTAAAGGAGGAGGGAGAAGAAGAGGAGAAAGAGGAGGAGGAAATGTTTCTGACCACCACTTAGTGTTCTTGTTTTAGACCAGGAGTCCTCAAACTTTTTAGACAGATGGCCAGGTCGCAGTCCCTCAAACTTTGATTAAAAAATGAATGAATTCCTATGCACGTTGCACATATTTTATTTGTAGTGCAAAAAACACTTAAAACAACACAACAATTAAAATGAAGAATAATTTTAACAAATAAAAACTTATTAGTATTTCAATGAGAAATGTGGAGTTGTTGTTGTTGTGTGCTTTCAAGTAGTTTCAGACAGTTTGACCCTGAGCGAGGGCGGGGTAAATGACCTTAGAGGGCCGTATTCAGCCCGCGGGCCTTAGTTTGAGGACCCATTTAAGACTTTACCCAAATCTCTTGTGTAGCATTTACAGTCAATTCTGTAGCAGATGCTTCAGCCATACTTCATAAAAAAGAACACCAGCCTGCCCAGCAAAACATGCTCTTGTGATAGAGGGCGGGATAGATCAATGGCCATGCTAGTGGGAGGGTTATACCTCAGAGGTAGCTTTTTCATAGATAGGTACAGGTAAATGATGCACGCATAAGATCCGCAAAGGTCCCCTTTGACCCACCTGGCTAATCGCTTCTCCAGATCCCGGATCTGGATCAAGTAAAACTCCCGGCTGTGTTCGGGCACGATGGCTTCATCGAAGTCCGGCTCTTTGGGGGCCTCCTCCTTCTTGCGCCCGCCTTTCTTTTTGGGTGCTGTTTTGGGTGCCGTTTTGGGTGCCGTTTTGGGTGCCATCACAGGTCAGGAGGAAGGGACGCCTTTGAGGAAGAGGATGCAAGGGGCCCTTTAAGAGCCAGGATGGAGCTCAGCGGTTGCTAGGCAGAAGGACATGTACATAGCAACAGAGCCAAGGGGAGGACCGCAGCCTTAAAGGGCCAGGGATCCCATATCAACTATAGTTGTTATTGCTGCTGCTATTGCTGTTACTACTACTATGATGGCTCAGAAAGCCCTTGCTTTCCTCTGAGGCTGAGAGAGAATGACCTGCCCAAGGTCACTCGGTGGGAAGCCAGAGCCATAGGTTGCATCTACTCTGTAGAATGAATGTATTTTGACTCCATTGTCCTGGCTCAGTGCTATGGAATTTTGAGAGCTGTAGTTTTATAAGGACCTGGGGTTCACCTACACTTTAGCTACAGGGCTCAATGCTATAGGATTTGGGAGTTGTAGTGTTATAAGGTCCTGGGGTGCATCTACACTTTAGCTACAGGGCTCAGTGCTATGGGATTTTGGGAGTTGTAGTGTTATAAAGTCCTGGGGTGCATCTACACTTTAGCTACAAGGCTCAGTGCTATGGGATTTTGGGAGTTGTAGTGTTATAAGGTCCTGGGGTGCATCAACACTTTAGCTACAGGGCTCAGTGCTATGGGATTTTGGGAGTTGTAGTGTTATAAGGTCCTGGGGTGCATCTACACTTTGGCTACAGGGCTCAGTGCTATGAGATTTGGTGAGTTGTAGTGTTATAAGGTTCTGGGATGCATCTACACTTTAGCTACAGGGCTCAGTGCTATGGGATTTCGGGAATTGTAGTGTTATAAGGTCCTGGGGGCATCTACGTTTTAACTACCAGGGCTGAATGCTACGGGATATTGGGAGTGTAGTTTTATAAGGGCCTAGAGTGCACCTACATGGCTCAGTGCTATGGAGTCCTGGGAGTTGTAACTTTATAAGGTCTTGGGGTGCATCTATACTTCACCTATCATGACTTGGTGCTATGGAAACCTTGGATTTGTAGTTTTATTAAGATCCTTAGGTGTACCTACATTTTAACTGCCTGGGCTTAGTGCTAGTAGCCTGCCTTTTCCCTTGCTTGGGATGGAGGATGGTTTCTGTAACAAAAGTATACCAAATCCAGAAATTGAAAATATCCTTGAACTATCCAAAAAAACACAATGCAAAAAATCAAAATAATAATAAAAACTATTCTGCAAAATAATCCCCTAAAATAATGCAAAAAATAAAAATAAAAAATATTCCCCGAAAATAACGCCAAAAATCAAAATAATAAATATTCCCCAAAACAATCCCCAAAAATAATGCAAAAAATAAAAAATATTCCCCAAAATAATCCCTGAAAATAATGCAAAAAAGTAATAATAACAAAAAATATTCCCCAAAATAATTCCTAAAATAATGTAAAAAATCAAAATAATAATAATAAATATTCCCCAAAATAATCCTCAAAAATAATGTAAAAAATCAAAATAATAAATAATTCCCTGAAATAATCCTCAAAAATAATGTAAAAAGTCATAATAATAATAAATAATTCCCTGAAATAATCCCCGAAAATAATGCAAAAAAACCAAAATAATAATAAAAATATTCCCCAAAATAATAGCAAAAATAAGGTAAATAATAATAATAAATATTCCTTGAAATAATCGCCGAAAATAATGCAAAAAATCAAAATAATAAATATTCCCAAAATAATTCCTAAAAATAATGCAAAAAAATCCAAATAAAAATATCCCCCAAAATAATCCCTAAAATAATGTAAATAATAATAATAATAAATATTCCCCGAAATAATCCCATTATTTTTGTAATTATTTTCAGAAATATAATGTCGAGCTGCGGTTTCCACTCTGTCCACAGGAGGGCGGCGGAGAGGCGCTGTTGTGCTTTAAGGGCGCGTTTCCCTATCCGGCCACTTGATGGCAGCAAAGGAGTGCAGATCGGAATCTCAGGGCGCGTGCAATATTCCTGTGTCCGCAAGAGGGCAGCAAAGGGACGGCCCTTAGTAGCGAAATTTCCGCCCTCACGCAAGAGGGCCGCTTGGGCGTCAATGTTGTCTCCCCTCTTCTCGCGTGGCTTCGGCGTAGCCGCGCCGGGAAGGCTCTGGTTTCCATAACAACCGGGGCCTAGTTGGAGGATGAAGCGCTCCTTGCTGCCATGTTCGGGGATTCGGCGTCCAGCGGGATTGACGTGGAGTCGGCTTGGAGGAGGAACCAAGGGGCGCGCTGCCACGAGGTGAGGCCTACAAGCAGGCCTGGGCCAACTGGGGCCCTCCAGGGGTTTTGGACTTCAACTCCCACCATTCCTAACAGCCGGTAGGCTGTTAGGAATGGTGGGAGTTGGAGTCCAAAACATAATAACAATAATAATAGCCTTTTTTGCATACTCACCTCTCCTCATGGCTTGAGGTGGGTCGCAAAATGACTAAAACACACTTAATCATTTTAAAACCTACCTGCCATTCGGAATTGTGGGAGTTGAAGTCCAAAACACCTGGAGGGAGGGCCAAACTTGGTCCAGGCCTACTCTAAATCAAGCCCTCCCTTCCCATTTCCACTCTGGTGGAAATGAGAGCTGGTTTGGACCTATAAAGCTCTATACTAAAGCTTACTTGTCCAAACGCATCTACCCCTGTGTCCCACCTTGTAATCTAAGATCATCCGGGGAGGCCCTGCTCTCGCTCCTGTCAATACAACACCACCTGAGCTCTGCGAGCGCAGCATTTTTCCGAATGAAGCAGAGAGTGTTTGAGGACCGGGACATCCGATGGATACCAAGGTGCTTGTTAAAGCTATTGTCCTCCCAACCCTGCTATATGCCTGCGAACGTGGACTGTCTACAGACGTCACATGCAACTCCTGGAACGATTCCATCAGCGCTGCCTCCGGAAAATCCTGCAAATCTCTGGGAAGACAGGCGGACAAACGTCAGCGTGCTGGAAGAAGCAAAGACCACCAGCATTGAAGCGATGGTCCTCCGCCATCAACTCAGCTGGACCAGCCACATTGTCCGGATGCCGACCACCGTCTCCCAAAGCAGTTGCTCTACTCCGAACTCAAGAACGGAAAACGGAATGTTGGTGGACAGGAAAAGAGATTTAAAGATGGGCTCAAAGCCAACCTTAAAAACTCTGGCATAGACACTGAGAACTGGGAAGCCCTGGCCCTTGAGCGCTCCAGCTGGAAGTCAGCTGTGACCAGCAGTGCTGCAGAATTTGAAGAGGCACGAATGGAGGGCGAAAGGGAGAAGTGTGCCAAGAGGAAGGCGCGTCAAGCCAACACCGACCGAGACCGCCTTCCACCTGGAAACCAATGCCCTCACTGCGGAAGAAGATGCAGAGCAAGAATAGGGCTCCACGGCCACATACAGACCCACAAGAATGTTGAAAGACAATCATCCTCGGAAAACGAGGAATCGCCTAAGTAAGTAAGTAAGCTCTCACTCCTGTCAACAGCGCAAATGCGCCTGGTGGGGACGAGAGACAGGGCCTTCTCGGCTATGCCCCCCCGCCTATGGAACACTTTCCCAAATGAGGTAAGATCTGCTTCTTCCCTCCTGGCTTTTAGAAAAAAAATAAAAACATGGTTTTGGGACCAGGCCTTCAGGCAGTAGAAACAAATTTATTTATTTATTTTATTTCATGCATTTCTACCCCATCCTTCTCAACCCCCGAGGGGGGACTCAGGGCGGCTTACAAAAGGCACAATTTGATGCCTACACAATAATACAGATAGACATATATAAACAGCAATTAAAACAGTTATAACAGTTAAAACAATCAATTATATATCACAATCAATAAAACCAATTTCATACTCAACGTTCGTCAGCTCAGAGTCCATAAATTCATTCCACATTGTCCATTCTTATCAGTCGTCGTTGTCCTTTATTTATCTGCCTGGTCCCAAATCCATGTTTTTAATTTCCTTCTAAAGGAAAGGAGGGATGTCGATGACCTAATTTCCCCGGGGAGTGAATTCCACAGGTGAGGGGCCACCACCGAGAAGGCCCTGCTCCTCGTCCCCGCCAATCTCACTTGTGATAGAGGCGGGCGAGAGCAGGGCCTCCCCAGAAGATCTTACATTCTGAGGTGGGACGTAGGGGGAGATCCGTTCGGACAGATACGCTGGGCCGGAACCATATAGGGTTTTGTAGGTCAAAACCAGCACTTTGAATTGTGCAGCCAGTTGAGCTGACACAAAAGGGGGGTGGTATGCTCCCTGTATGGCGCTCCGGTGAGTAATCTGGCTGCCTCCCATTGGACTAGTTGAAGTTTCTGAACAGTCTTCAAAGGCAACCCCACGTAGAGTGCGTTGCAGTAATCTATTCGGGATGTAACAAGAGTGTGGACCACTGTGGCCAGATCTGACTTCCCAAATCTATGCAGCATTTGGGAAAGACAATGACTGGAACGGCGATTCGATGGATGAGACTGTTTTACTGTTTTAATGATTGTTTTACTGTTTATGGATGTATTTTAATTTGATTTATGTCTAACTGTAATTGTATAATTGTAATTGTTTGTGCTGGCATTGAATTTTGCCATTACCTATGTGGAAACCACTTTGAGTCCCCTTCGGGGTGAGAAAAGCAGTATACAAATGTTGTAAATAAATAAATAAATAAATAAATAATTTGGATTGACAGTGCTCTCTTTTTTCTCGACAGAGAAGCACCCAGACCGGGGTGATCTCCACAGCCGAAGCTGACACCCAGTCCCACTGCTGCCAGGATGCGGGCGTCCAGACCGACGCAGGCGACGACCAGCCCCAGCTGCCAGGCCTTTCCTCCTCAGGGCCGGTGGATTATACCAGCCTGCGCTCCTTCCTGCAGAGGGTGGAAGAAGTGGTGATCCGGGAGTTGGACAAAAACTGGAAGAGCCATGCCTTTGATGGCTTTGAGGTGAACTGGACAGATCAGAACGAAACGGTAAGCTATGGGCTCTCGTGGAGCCTTTGTATTTATTTATTTTATTTCTTTACTGTATTTGTATACCGCCTTTCTCAGCCAATCGGCGACTCAAGGCGGTTTCCAACAAATCAGTACATATAAAAACATAATACAGATTAAAAGAGTAAACAATATAAAACACCACAAAAGCAATAAAAACATTATTAGCATCTCATTATTATCAAGCATTATCCAGTTCCATTGTCAAATCGTCCGATTTCCTATATTAGTTACTCTGCATTTGCAAATGCTGGCTTGAACAGCCATGTTTTAACTTGCCTCCGAAACGTTAAGAGGGAGGGAGCAGATCTAATCTCCCTAGGGAGGGTATTCCATAGCCAACGGGCCACCTCTGAGAAGGTCCTGTCTCTCGTCCCCGCCAAACGTACTCGAGACGAAGGTGGGACCGAGAACAGGGCCTCCCCAGACGATCTTAGAGTCCTCGATGGTTCGTAAGGGGAGACACATTCAGACAGGTAAGTTGGGCCATAACCGTTGTTCTTCTAATCCTTCTCACCTCGTTGCCTGCTTTTATGACTCTTTATAAAATTATAAAGAATTATTATTATTTATAATTACTATTTATAATTTACTATTATTAAAGAGTCATAAAGAATTAGTAATAATAATAATCATAATCATAATATACTTTACTTATATTCCACTCTATCTCCCTGAGGGGACTCAGAGCGGATTAAGAACACCTATATGGCAAGCATTCAATGCCGTTATACCAGGGGTCCTCAAACTAAGGCCCGGGGGCCAGATACGGCCCTTCAGGGTCATTTACCCGGCCCTCACTCAGGGTCAACCTAATTCTGAAATGACTTGAAAGCACACAACAACAATCCTATCTCATCAGCCAAAAGCAGGCCCACACTTCCCATTGATATACTAATAAGTTTATATTTGTTAAAATTGTTCTTCATTTTAATTATTGTATTGTTTCTAAGTGTTCTTTGCACTACAAATTAGATATGCACAGTGTGCATAGGAATTCATTTTTTATTCAAATTATAATCTGGCCCTCCAACAGTTTGAGGGACTGTGACCTGGCCCTCTGTTTAAAATGTTTGAGGACCCCTGATTTATACAATTAACAAGGACAGACAATACATAAACAGAGGTAAAGACTTCCCATCTTTTCTATCTCCGGCATCTGGAGGCTGTGCTCGACTCCGGCCATGGGGGTCGTTGTCGCTCTATCTTCCATGCAGAGGAGCTTTGTTGTCAATTGACTGTGCGGATCAGGCTACATACAGTCCAGACTCTAATGTTGACGACTTTATTTTCCAGTGATCTTATGGACATTTTTCCTTTCTTCCTTTAAACTGTAGCTATTGGTTCTCTCCATCATTCTCTCTCTCTGTACTCTAAACTTCACTGTTTTTCTGTCTTGCAGGTCATTTGCTTGCACAGCCTATCGTACCCTGAAGCTCAAGAACGCAAGCTACAGGTGACCAGTGTGTCCTGGAACTCCACCGGAGCGGTCATTGCTTGCTCTTATGGCAGGTGCGTTGCCCTAAAGGGCCAAAATATCCCCTCCTCTACTTCTGGAGAAGTTGGACCAAACTAAGTGTGAAGGAAAGGCGAAAGTCTGAAAAAGAGAGGAACAAAGGCCTAGCTCTTGCCGAGAAGTTAGATATGTTGTCAGGTTTCCTGGAGGATCTGTAATCAGAGCATTTGGTGGGAGAAAGGTCTCAGTCTATGAGAAGACCTCATGTTGTGAGGTTGGCCTTAGTCTGTGAGAGAAGCCTCTGAGTGAGGTAGGCCTCTGTGAGAGAAACCTCTGTGTGAGGTCGGCCTTAGTCTGTGAGAGAAGCCTCTGTGTGAGGTCGGCCTTAGTCTGTGAAAGAAGCCTCTGTGTGAGGTCGGCCTTAATCTGTGAGAGGTCTCTATGTGAGGTCGGCCTTAGTCTGTGAGAGAAACCTCTATTTGAGGTCGGCCTTAGTCTGTGAGAGAAGCCTCTGTGTGAGGTCGGCCTTAGTCTGTGAGAGGTCTCTATGTGAGGTCGGCCTTAGTCTGTGAGAGAAACCTCTATTTGAGGTCGGTCTTAGTCTCTGAGAGAAGCCTCTGTGTGAGGTCAGTCTAAGTCTGAGAGAAGCCTCTGTGTGAGGTCGGCCTTAGTCTGTGAGAGAAGCCTCTGTGTGAGGTTGGCCTTAGTCTGTGAGTGGTCTCTATGTGAGGTCGGCCTTAGTCTGTGAGAGAAACCTCTATTTGAGGTCGGTCTTAGTCTGTGAGAGAAGCCTCTGTGTGAGGTCGGCCTTAGTCTGTGAGAGAAACCTCTGTGTGAGGTCGGCCTTAGTCTGTGAGAGAAGTCTCTATGTGAGGTTGGTCTTAGTCTGTGAGAGAAGCCTCTGTGTGAGATCAGTCTAAGTCTGAGAAAAGCCTCTGTGTTGAGGTTGGCCTTAGTCTGTGAGAAAGCCTCAGAGTATGAGAAGGCCTGGTGTGATAAGCTTCAGTGAGAGGAAGCCCCAGGTTGAAGGCCTCGTGTGTAAAGCTACTGTGTGACGCTCCTGTGAAACTTTGGTGTGAGAGGAGGCCCTGTGAGAGTGAAGCAGTTCATTTGCATGAGAAAGAAACCCAGCGTGGGAGCAAATAAGAAAGTATAAGGAACTTTGTGTTATGGAAACCTTGTTCTTGCAAATAGTGCAACCATATTAGTTTACTACAGAGAAAAGTCTCCTATGGAAGAGATAACATTGGTCTGTGTGTTTTTGTTCTTTCTATCACTTTGAGCTACTGCTGGTGGGTCACACTGCTGCTAATAAGTTACTCTGCTATACATAGTATAGGCTTCTAGGAATTGTGGGAGTTGAAGTCCAAAATACCTGGAGGGAAAGCCAAAGTTGGCCCATGTCTCTTCTAGGCAAAACCTTCCTGATGTACTTTTCCCATTCCAGACTGGATGATGGAGACTGGAGTGCGGAAAAGTCCTACGTCTGCACTTGGAATCTTGACCGGAGAGCTCTGAACCCCAGACGTCCAGATCTCGTGGTGGAGACCCCCAGCGCAGTGATGTGCTTGGCGTTCCACCCACGGCAGCCTTCCCTTATAGCAGGCAAGTGGTTCTGCTGTTCCCTGTTGGATCTCCATTTTAACCCCATTCACGAGCATACCTGCCTTGACTGGGGGGTGCCAGAGTGGCTGCGGCAGGCCAGGAGTCGCCCAGCAACTCTCCCACAGCTTCCTCTGTTTTGTCCTTTCCAGGAGGCCTGTTCAATGGGGAAGTGCTGGTGTGGGACACCGGCAGAGTGGAGGACCCTTTGCTCTGGAGGACGGGCATGACAGATGACACGCATACAGATCCAGTTTATCAGGTACCAGCATACACACACATCCAACATTGCCATGGTGTCAGAGGGGCCACTGTCTGTCTGCTTTCTCCCTTCTCCAGATCTGGGAGGACCTACTTCATGGCAATGGTGGTCAGGCACTCTTTGTGGCTCTCTCATTCCTTCCTTCTTTCCCTTCCCTTCTATTTATTTATTACTAGCTTGGGGACCCGGTGCTACCCGGGTTATTAGAGAAAGTGGGTAATGGCGGTTCTGTATGCCAAGTTTGGTCTTTATTGGTCATTGGATGATGGTCGCATTGTTTTCAGGGAGTGAAGGTACTTCAAGTCCCATCATCCATGCTCCACCCTCCTCCAAACTGCAGCAGGATGTAGAGTGGGTCATGGGGGCTCTGTGTACCAAGTTTGGTCTTGATCAGTCATTGGATGAGGGTCGCAGTGGTTTCAGTAAGTGAGTGAAGGTACTGCAAATCCCATCATCCATGGTCCACCCTCCTCCAAACTGCTTCAGGATGTAAAGTGGGCCATGAGTACTCTGTGTGCCAAGTTTGCGCCTGGTCTGTAATTTGTAGGGGCTACAATGTTCGGTGGGAAGTGAATCGGGTGAAGGTACTGCAAATCCCATCATTTGTGGCCCATCCTGCCCGAAACGGCACAAGGTTGTAAAGTGGGCCATTTGGCCTCTGTGTGCCAAGTTTGGTCCTGATCCATCATTGGTGTGGGCCACAGTGCTCTAAGGAAGTGAGTTAAAGTACTGCAAGTCCCATCATCCATAGTCCATCCACCCTCAAGCTGCCCCAGGATGTAGAGTGGGTCTTGGGAGGGGGGTCTGTGTGCCAAGTTTGGTCTTGTTCTGTCATTGTTGGGGGCCACAAAATGTTTTGGACTTCAACTCCCACCCTTTCTGACAGCCTCTGGCCCTTTTCATTCTCAGCCACTGCAGTGTGTTAGAATGTTGAGGCTGGCCAATCAGAAACAATATGCAAATAATACCACAGTGGCAACCAATCATCATTTCTGACAGCCTCAGGCTGTTGCCTTTTCCCTCTCTGCTACCTTAGAGTGTTGGCCAATCAGAGACCATATGCAAATTATACCACAGTGGCAGTCAATCAGAACGCTGCCACATACATACACCTCACTCCTGCCGCATATAAACATTCTCTTTTATTATATCGATAGATTTATTTATTTGCAGGCTTTGTATTCCACCCTTCTCACCCCGCAGAGGACACGGCGAATCACAACGCACATATACATGGCAAACATTCACTGCCATAGACACACAATATATATATACAGGCACACAGAGGCTATTTAACTTCCAGCTTCATGAGGGTATACTTTGAATTCCGCCACTGGGGGAGCTGTTGCTTCACTGTCCACTTGTGACACCGATGGAGTACTTCCTCATTGTTTTGCATGCTGCTGGAGAGTTTTATGGTGTCGTAAATTAGATAAAGGTAAAGGTAGTAAAGGTAGTCCTCTGACATTAAGTTCAGTCATGTCTGACTCTGGGGTGTGGTGCTCATCTCCATTTCTAAGCCGAAGAGGCAGCGTTGTCCGTAGACACCTCCAAGGTCATGTGGCCAGCATGACTGCATGGAGCGCCGTTAAATTTAGGGTAAATTAGATAAATTACCCTAAATTTCCTCCTTGACAGATGCAACTGTCTTTCGGGCTGCAAAGGTCGACAGCAAGCTAGACAAATGGTCGGGAGCTTACTCCGACCTGGGCTGGCTTCAAACTCATGACTTTTCGGTCAGTAGTGATTTTTAATGCAGCTGACTCCCAACCAGCTGCGCCACAACCCGGTCCTTTTTCTTCTTCTTTCCTTCCTTCTCCTCATTCCCATGTCACCTAGCAGCAGCCAAATGGCTTCACTCCCTTTCTTTCCCAGTGACATCACACAGGGCCACTTCACCCAGCAACAGCCAGTCCTTATAGCCATTGCTAATCCTTTTTTATTTGCTCTGGGCCCAAAAGGGGTGTATATTTTTTAGTTCAAACCCCAAAATTCTTTTAAGTTGGCTAATGAAGGGGGTCTGTGCCAATTTTGGTTCAAATCTGAACATAGGATCTGTTAAGGCACAATATCTGGGGAGTGACAGGATCTCAAACCCTGTAGATCAGGCATGGGCAAGCTTAGTCCCTCCCTCCCTCCAGGTGTTTTGGACTTCCACAATCCGTAAGAGCCTACTGACTGGTAGGAATTGTGGGAATTGCAGTCCAAAACACCTTGAGGAAGGCCAAGGTTTGCCCATGTCTGCTGTCACTATACTATCCTGCTTGCTCCTAAGATGAGACAATCGTGTTCAATTCCCGTTTCTGCACCAGGTTGCCTGGCTGCAAGACTCGAAGCACAGCCACACCTTCCGGGTCCTGAGCGTCTCCACCGACGGGAAGATCCTAGTCTGGCAGGAGGACCGAGAGGGCTTCCTCAAGCCCACCGACGGCTTTGCCTTCGTTCTGCAGCAGATACCCAGGAGCACAAAACTGAAGAAGGTAGGCTTGAATATGAAACACTCCAGGGAAGAGTTTGATCAGTCTTGCTTTCGACAAGCCAGAGGTGTGGAGCCTCCAGCTTCGGGGCCAAATCCAGCGAGGTTTTCAATAGGCATCCCCACTCACTCTTAGCATGTGGTTTTGGTGTATTGGCAGCTTCACCTGAAGTTGAGCCACCTTTCTTAAGGCTCAGTTATTAGCAGTAAGAATTTCAAGTTGGGGTTTGTGACCCCTTTGCCTCTCCTCATCTACCATTAGAATCCCCCACTCTCTTAGTATCCTAGAGTTGGAAGAGACCTCATAGGTCATCCAGTCCAACCCCATTCTGCCAAGAAGCAGAAAATTGCATTCAAAGCACCCCCGGCCATCCAGCCTCTCTTTAAAGTCCTCCATAGAAGGAGCCTCCACCACACTCGGGGCAGAGAGTTCCACTGCTGAACAGCTCTGACAGTCAGGAAGTTCTTCCTCATGTTCAGATGGAATCTCCTTTCTTGTAATTTGAAGAGATTGCTCCATTGTGTCCTAGTCTCCAGGGCAGCAGAAAGCAAGCTTGCTCCCTCCTCCCTCTGACTTCCTCTCACATATTTATGCATGGCTATCATGTCTCCTCTCAGCCTTCTCGTCTTCAAGCTAAACATGCCCAGCTCTTTAAGCTGCTCCTCATCTTTGTTGTTAGTGTGATGTCTCTACTCTTCACTATTCTATCGAGATTGGACATTGCTCTCCTAAGGAGTAAGTGTCTCCTCTGCATCTGCAGTAAACTTTGCACCTAGAAATACAAAGTCTGTCACGGTCCCCACGTTTTCTCTCTATTTGCCAGTTATCAATCAGTCTAGTTGCCATAATCTTGGTTTTTCTTATTTTTAACTGCAAGCCAGCTTTTGCACTTTCTTCTTCCACCTTGATTAGAAGGCTCCTCAGCTCCTCCTCACTTTTGGCCATCAAAGTGGTATCATCTGCATATCTAAGGTTGTTAATGTTTCTTCCAGCAATTTTCACCCCAAGCCCCACACATCGCATGATGTGTTCTGCATACAAGTTGAATAGGTTGGGAGGGAGTATACAACCCTGCTGTACACCTTTCCCAATTTGAACCCGTCTGTTGTTCCATGGTCAGTTCTTACTGTTGCTACTTGATCATTATACAGATTCCTCAGGAGAGAGACAATGGTAAAGGTTAGGGTTAGGGTTCGGATAAGGGTAAAAGAGTTAAGGTTAGGGATTGGGAAAGTGTTTCAAGGCTTAAATACGAAATGTGTGTATATTCTGGAGAAAACTTAAGGCGACTGGACCAACAAGGCCTTCCTTCTAGGTTTCATGGGTGAGGTTCCGCATGCTCTGATGTTCTTCCTCTCTCGCAGCAGACACGGGGAGACGCGGCCGTGGGCATCACCTCCCTCTCCTTCTCCCACTTTGAGCCCAGCGTCTTTGTCGTCGGCACCGAGGGGGGTTCCCTGCTGAAGTGCTCCACTGCCACCGAGGCCGTGGCTCTGCTGCAGAAAGGCAGCTCCGTCCCGCTTAGGGCCCCGGCGCAGTTTGCCTTCTCCCCTCACGGAGGGCCCGTCTACTGCGTGAGCTGCTCACCTTTCCACAGGTAAGGAGCGAGTGAAGGTGGCCTGATCGTAATGCCGGGAGGGTCGATGAGACGGAAGACGGGTCTGTCGCCTCTGCCATTCTCTTGGCCCATCTTCCCTCTTGCCGACCCTCTCAAGAGAAACATTTTGCTCCAAATTGTTCCCGGAGTTCTACCGGGTAACTCTGAACCTTTTGCCCCTCCTGCCCAGGAATCTCTTTCTAAGCGCTGGGACGGCTGGCCACGTTCACCTTCACTCCATGCTGCAAGCTCAGCCCCTCGTTTCCCTCCAGTTGTCTAAGAAATACATTTTCAGCGTCAAGTGGTCTCCGGTACGGCCCTTGGTTTTTGCAGCTGCGTCCGGGGAAGGCAAGTACACCCCCGAAATGGTTTGGTTGCCTTCACTTTTAGTTTGTCTCTAGTCGCTTTACCTTTGTTTGCCCAGTTTGCTTAGCTGTGCTCTCAGTCTCCCTCCGGTTGCGGCATCCTAGTACTTCAGCAAGGAATTCTGTCTTATTTCTATTTCTTTCTTTTTCTATTTTTCATTTATTATATTTTAATCTTTTCCTGAGTGGTCTCTGTGAAATTGCACATATGGGAGAGGATAATCAGGGTATAAATAATAATAATAAGATCCTAGATTACTATAATAATAATATTTATTTTTTTTGTCGTGTCAGGAGCGACCGCTCCTGTTGTGAGAGAATTGGCCATCTGCCAATAATAATAATAATAATAATAATAATAATAATAATAATAATAATAATAATAATGGAGCATAATACTCCCGACCTCACAATCGTGTTAAAAAACAAAGTATGGATTGTCGATGTTGCAATGCCAGGTGACAGCAGGATTGAAGAGAAACAACTGGAAAAGCTGACACAATATGAGGATTTAAAGATCGAACTGCAAAGACTCTGGCACAAGCCAGTCAAGGTGGTCCCAGTGGTGATCGGCACACTGGGTGCAGTGCCTAAAGACCTTGGCCTGCACTTAAACACAAGGCACTGACAAGATTACCATCTGTGAGCTGCAGGCGGCTACCTTACTGGGATCTGCAAGCGTTATTTGCCGATACATCACAAAGTCCTAGACACTTAGGAAGTGTCCGACGTGTGATCCAATACAACAGCCAGCAGAGTGTCTGGACTCATCTTGTTGTGTTTCTAATAATAATAATAATAATAATAATAATAATAATTCTTATTGTTGTTGAATGGCACTTGTGGGCTGGCTATATTAATATGCATGGGATGTTGTGGTCCCTTCCAACTTTAAAAGTAAAAATTAGAAGAAAAAAATGAAAACTAAAAAGGAAAGAAGGAAAGAACATTAGATAGATAGATAGATAGATAGATAGATAGATAGATAGATAGATAGATAGATAGATAGAGAAAACGTGTTCTATGGCTGTGCATAGGTGTGTATGGCCCCGGTAAGTTCGAATCATACAATTGGAAGAGACCATGAGAAATGACTTGGCACAATAACTACGAAATATTTTGTGTGTGTGTGTGTGTGTGTCAGGAGTGACTTGAGAAACTGCAAGTCACTACTGCTGTGAGAGAATTGGTTGTCTGCAAGGACATTGCCCAGGGGACACCTGGGTGTATTGATGTTTTACCATCCTTGTGTGAGGCTTCTCTTATGTCACCGTATGGGGAGCAGGAGCTGACGGAGGGAGCTCATCTGCACTCTCCCCGGATTCGAACCTCCAACCTGTCGGTCTTCAGTCCTGCTGGCACAAGGGTTTAACCCACTGCACCACTGGGGGCTCCACAAGGAAAGGTGGACTCCTAAAACAGATGCCTCCATATTCTAGTGCTACTAAAGTTTATGCGGTTGACTGTGCTATCGAAGGCTTTCATGCCAGAATCACTGGGGTGTTGTGTGGTTTCTGGGCTGTATGGCCGTGTTCTAGCAGCAGTTTGTCCTGACATTTTGCCTCCAGATGCAGTGCTGTTGGTGGAACGAGACCAAGTCAACCAACCGGTCGGGGCTTGTGTTTTTCAGGGGAATTGCAGCTGTTTGACTTTGGGAAGAGCTCCCAGAGACCCTCGCTTTCCATCCAGCAGACCTCTGACCAGGCTCCGGTCTACTGCTTGGAGTTCAACCATCGCCAGGCCCAGCTGCTGGCCGCTGGAGATGGCGACGGAGCGGTTAAGATATGGCAGCTGAGCTCGGACTTCACTGAAGAGGGGCCCCGCGAAATGAACCACCTCGACCAGCTGGCAAACGAGGTGACAGATTAATACGGACACTCAATAAAAGGCTTGGCATTGTTTCTGTATCCACAAGATCCGTGTCTAGTTCGTATCTACCTCCATTTCTGGGATCATTTGGCAAGGGGTTGAATTATGAATTGGCTTGTAATCTGTCTCAGTAATGACCCGGAACTATTTCACATGAGCCGGTTTCCTAACAGCCAGTAGGCTGTTAGGAATTGTGGGAGTTGGAGTCCAAAACACCTGCAGGGAGGGCCGAAGTTGGCCCATGGCCACCTTATGAGATGGACTCTGCCTGCAATTCTCCATAACGTTCCTTTGGACATAAAAAGCACCTCAAAAACTGGTTTTGTTTGGACCAGTTAACATTTATTGGTGCACACACTGCATCATTATTATTTTTTTGCTCCAGGTACTAAGGATCAAAGCTTCAAAGCAGATTGAAAGGCTACATCTGAAAAGCAACACGGGTTATTATTGGCTTGGTTAGCTCCATGACAGACGCATGCAGAAAGGCGGGAGGGGGGGGAGGGAACGCATTCTGGGGGGACTTCCAGCGGTGCTTTCTAGAAGGAGGGATCAATTCACGAAGAGCGAGCGCGTGAACTCGATGTAGTCGTAGGCTGAGGGGAGCTCCCTGCCTTTGCTGTCCATGTAGGGCTTCATGTGCGAGATGCAGTAGTCCGCCTGTTCCCGGGAGAGGTTCTGAAATACGAGAAGAGAAGGAGAGGGAAAGGCACTGAGAGGGTGAAATACACCGATGTATAGAGCAGGCATGGGTAAACTTCGGCCTTCAACTCCCACAACTCCTAACAGCCTCAGGCCCTTTCCTGAGAAACACTGGGATGTCTGTGGTGGAGGAAACACATGCAATTACTGTCTGAAAGCCTTCACTTGGGTGGTGGACAGTACGGGATTTGTGGAGGATATTAGCAGGGCTCTTGTACATGTTTATGGCGCTCATTTTAACCTGCAATATCATTGACAAGAGGGCCATTGGTGGCTCCTCAGCACTGGGAGTTATAGCTATTTGTGGAAGTGGGAACCAGCCCCCCAGCCATATACATATTTTCACTTTTATTTATTTACTAGCCATCCTCTGCCACACGTTGCTGTGGCCCAGTCTGTATATGTGCTTTGTGTGTGTATATATTTGTGTATATTTATGGTTCTGCGCATGCGTTGTAATTTTTTTTTTGCTTTTTAAGTCCCTTCCACTGTGTTTTTCTGTGTTGTTATGAGTGATGGTCACTCGTTGGCCTGAGAGGTGTCTTGGGTCCAAATTTGGTGTCAATTCGGCCAGTGGTTTTTGAGTTATGTTAATCCCACAAATGAATATTACATTTTTATTTATATAGACTAGCTGTCCCCTGCCACACGTTGCTGTGGCCCACATTGGGGTTCTGTGTGGGAGGTTTGGCCCAATTCTATCATTGATGAGGTTCAGAATGCTCTACAACTGTAGGTGAACTATAAATCCCAGCAACTACAACTCCCAGATGTCAAGATTCTATTTCCCCCAAACTCCACCAGTGTTCACATTTGGGCAGATTGAGTATTCTTGTAGAGTTTGGTCCAGATCCATCATTGTTTGAGTCCACAGGCATCTTTGGATGTAGGTGAACTACAACTCCAAAACCAAAGGACACGGCCTCCAAACCCTTCCAGTATTTTCTGTCGGTCATGGGAGAACTGTGTAACCAAGTTTGGTTCAATTCCATCGTTAGTGGGGTTCAGAATGCTCTTTGATTGTAGGCGAACTATAAATCCCAGCAACTACAACTCCCAAATGACAAAATCATTATTTTTTTTTAGTGAAGGACATACATTGGGTTGTTAGGTGTCTTGTGTCTAAATTTGGTGTCTATTTGTCCAGTGGTTTTTGAGTTCTGTTAATCCCACAAACGAATATTACATTTTTGTTTATATAGATTTACAGTATTCATATTACGTGTATATGTTCTTGTCATATAATCAGGACAGCAAAAGACAGTCCAGATCAGGAACAGCATGAGATAAAATAATAAAATAGTCCATAATAAGTAATATTAATAATAAATACATAAATAATAGTTACACAAGAGAAAGATTCATAGCTGCTGCGAGAGCGGCGGATAAAGAGAACTGAGGCAGTAGCCCCTCCCACTGGCTATATACTATATGGGGAGTCTGGGCGGGGCTACCACCATTTTGTATCAAAGAGCTTTCTAGAAGATTCCAGAAGTGACTGCACAGGCACAAGAAATACCGTATGTGTGATTTCACAGACACCACGGAGAAGAAGGAATGCTCTTCTTACCTGGTAGAGCTCCTCCTTGGTCACGTAGGGCTTCCCCTCAGAACTGAGGGCACGGAAGGCGCTCTCAATCTCCTCGCTGGATTTCACGTTCTCCGTCTCCCGGCTGATCATGAAAGCCATGTATTCTTGCAGGGAGACGTGGCCGTCCCTGTTAAAGAAGGAAACGCACAGCTTTGGGTCTCCAGCACCTAATATACCTGAATGCAACATAACTCGAGAACACTGTGTTGGAAATGCATGGCCCGTTTGGATGAGATGATTTGGGCACCCGTGAAAACCACTGGCCTTTATCTGTATCTCAAATATTAAGATAGCCAGTGCCATTTTGGGAATCGGCGGGTCAAATATACCCAGAAACAGGGCTAACATTCTACACACCAAAAGATGCATTGTTTACTTACTAAAAACAGTCCCACCACGGCCATCTTGCCAATAATTTACTGAGATGACCATTTCAGAAATAGCAAATATCAATGGTGATGTCGGCTTGGTACCTGTTGGGGTCCACGGTGTCCAGGATGGCCTCAAACTCAGGGTCCGGCTCCCCTTCCTCCACCATCGGCAAGTCGTAGCCCAAGGAGCGCAGGCAGGACTTGAACTCCTGGTGGTTCAGGCGGCCGGATTTGTCCTTGTCGAAGTGCCTGCGGTTGAAGGGACCATCAATAAACCCTTCAGCAAAAATAATCCCAGAAAGTACCCTTCTACGTATTGCATGAAATTTACAACACAACTTGGGAATATCACTACATCTGATAGCAAGGGATTGAAATTGGTTCCCTCTCCCTTTTGTCTCTTGGCATGTTTGGCGAAAGAATGACATCTCCACTTACTTGAACATCATACTGAATTCCTTGAGGGCTTCTTCAGTGACTCCAGTTGTGTTTCTAGAGGAAAGCAAAAGAATTTAGTGAGACTTGTTTGGCTACGCCGGTGGCCGAAAGTTCATTTTCACCCCCATTTCTGGAAAAAGTTGGCAAAAGACTGAATTAAATTGGAACTTGCTAGTCCATAATCTGTCTCAATAATGATCAGAAACTGTTCTGCATCTTGTAAGGTCCTCATGTGAAAACTCCAGCCCTCCAGGTGTTTTGGACTCCAAATCCCACAATTCCTAACAATAATTGTGAGAGTTAAAGTCCAAAACATCTGGAGGGCTGAAGTTTGTCCATGCCTGGTGGTAAAGCCTATGACCGTGCTCAACGTTTGAGCAGAAATCTACCAAAGAGAAGGGTCTGAATTTGAACTCAAGCCATAAGAGGAGGCAGGTAATATAATAAGATGGTCCCAGTGGTGATTGGCACACTGGGTGCAGTGCCTAAAGACCTTGGCCTGCACTTAAACACAATCGGCGCTGACAAAATTACCAGCCGCAGAGCTGCAAAAGGCCACCTTACTGGGATCTGCACGCTTTATTTACCAATACATCACACAGTCCTAGACACTTGGGAAGGGTCCGATGTGTGATCCAATACAACAGCCAGCAGAGTGACTTTGTTTGCTATGGACTCATCTTGTTATGTATCTAATAATAATAATAATAATAATAATAATAATAACAACAATGCCAAAAGATCTCAGCCAGCATTTGGAAACAATAAACATTCGCAAAATCACTATCTGTCAACTGCAAAAGGCCACCTGACTTGGATTTGCACGCATAATAATAATAATAACAACAACAACAAACTTCAATCTTGGAGGACCATCATACTCGCTTGGGAAGTGTTCGACTTGTGATTTTGCGATACAAAATCCAGCATATAGATCTCGTTTGCCTTGACATACTGTGTTTTTGTGTAAATAATAATAATAATAATAATAATAATAATACTTGGGGAGTGTCTGACGTGTGATCCAATACAACAGCCAGCAGAGTGATGTTGTTTGCTGTGGACTCATCTTTTTGTGTTTCAATAATAATAATAATAATAATAATAATAATAATAATAATAATAATAATAGGGTTTGGAAAAAAACCTGGGGTGCTCTGTGCTATTTGAGCTCTCCCCTGAAGACAGGCAGGCAGGCAGGCAGGCGAAAGGCCGTACTTACCTGGCCTGTATCTGCTGCTCCAGGTTGTGCTGCATCCTCATCCCAAGCTGATCCAGCTGGTCCCACTGCTGGGCCAGCCCCACAGTGCTGTGTTCTGTGTACTTGTTGTCCAGGATGAGCGCCTCCTCCATGGCGGCCCCGAGGTCCTCAATTTTCTTCAGCTGGCTCCTCATAGCCCGGATCTCCTGGTGCTTGCGCTGTTTGGGGAGAAGACAATTTATCATGGCACCGAGGCACTGGCTTCGTCCTTTAGAACAAAAGGAGGGAAACAATGCCAAATCCCCTCCGCCTTGCAGGTGCATTCTCCTTGCTTTCACCTTCAAGATGCTTTTCACCTTAAGAACAGACAAGCATCTCGAGCTCTGAGGCTGACCTGGGAAGGAATCCCACTGGAGCATTGCAGCACAAAAAAATACCTGGAAGTTACCCTGGATTGTTCTCTGACCTACAAGAAGCACTGCCTGAGTATCAAGCAAAAAGTGGGCGCTAGAAACAATATCATACGACAGCTGATTGGCACAACCTGGGGATCACAACCAGACACAGTGAAGACATCTGCCCTTGCGCTTGGTTACTCTGCTGCTGAGTATGCACGCCCAGAGTTGAACACATCCCACCACGTTAAAATAGTGGATGTGGCTCTTAATAAGACAGTGGTGTCTGCGCCCTACACCACTGGAAAAATTACACTGTGAAGCCAGTATTG